TGTAGAATAGTGTTCTCTATCCTTTTAGATAAGAGACACGTCGAAAAACCAGCATACCTGACTTCACAGGAACAGGAGTACTGAACGAAGTTCATTTATCTCTGAGTTTGATTATTTTACTACTTAAACGAAACAGATTGAATTCGATTTCTATCCTTCTTCAGCGTTTATCCCTTTATGTTCACTACAATTTAATTTCTGGTAAATACATTAGTTACTTCGGTTTTTTTCTTCTTTTAACTGTGATCCTCTGTTATTCTACTTATGTTTTCATTGATAATGTTGTCATTGCCCATTGTTATTTTTAAAAATTAAAGTGTTATTATACTAAGGTATACTCACTCTTCTGATTGACTGGTTTCAACGTAGAACTTTGCACCAGTGTGCAACAGTTCCAGTCACCATACTTCACTCAGCACACAAACCAAGAGAAGATAGTAAAAGGAAATTCAAAACAGAGATAGTAAAAAGGGATATGAGGCAAAAAGAATAATAATAATATCGAAGAACAACATAGTGTTATTGGGTATTCTAAGTCACAAGCAGTGGATGCACCTGTGCTAGCCATTGAGAATGATTTTGAGACATATCACTAACTGTAGCCAGCCCTTGGTGTTTACAGTCCCAAAGGCCACAAGCAGTCAGGAAGTCTACATCTTCCTGGATTAAACGAACTGTCATGGATTTCATTGATTGATTGAAGCCATGTTTTGGTTTGACCACCAATAGCTCTTTTCTAGCCTGACACTATGTTAGATAACATTGCTAGTTGTCGAGGAAGGCGATGACTAGGCATACGTGCGTAACACAGAATGTCCCAACCACCTCAATCGATGTCGCTTCACAGCCTCGTCGATTGATTTCCCCTCCTTACCTAGCACTCGACCGAAGCCTAACCTCAATATTGCTCACCTTATAATACCACTTCACACGGGAGATAGACCGCAGGCACCTATGGTCAAAGACAGTTAGCCAAGCTTCTCATGTCTTCCACTTTCAATGACCATTTCTCACTAACAGTCATAAAGGAGGACGGAGCGGACTGCTGAGCAGTGCATGCGCCCTTTGGTCGATAGCCAGCCGGATATCACAAATGGCAGAAGAAGCAGACGGAGGTGATGAAGATAATCAACCAACCAATCAAAAACAACAACAACAAGTATCACTCAACATCAACGAAATAAATAGGAGAGATGTCAATTCCTTCACTTAGGTAAGAAGCAATGTTTCCAATACGCTTGAGAAACGTCCAAACCAGAATTGGAAAGGCAAGACAGGCATTCACATCATTTTGAAATCGGTTTGAAAATCTGATACGCTCAACACAAAGGATAAAAAAATTCAGATTTCCAACACGGATATATGGTCATAAACGTGGTGAACGTGTCATCAAACGTATTTCTAACAGTCTACTGCTGATTTTTATCAACACTTGCCTTTCGCTGGCTGGCTTCATACCAAAGATCAGGCGACCGGCATAAAGGGAATTCGGAACAAGAAAGTTTGAGAATGAATCACCAATCAAGAACCTATCGGTCAACATGTAATCCGAAGAAAATCGAGGCGGACCAGTCACACACAGTCGAATGGGAAACCTACGAGTTGGGCATCTAGCCACAGGTAACATGGAGGAGATCGTGTGACGAAGAGATGAAAGCTTCTGAGCAACTGTAAGGGATCAGCTGAAGAGGATTGCAGAGAACAGCAAAAAAATTGCAGACGTATTGTTGAAGCCTTATGTTCTACTCGGAACCCATGGGAATAATAATAATAATAATAGTATTTGTGAGCAGAGAAGATCAAGGAAAACATGATGACAAATCACCATCCACTGTTGTAACTACGACGGTGAATGTTGTCGTAGTAAATTGCTTTTTATGTATCCGAAATTCTGCAAGCCGACTTGTGTCTTAGCATCTAAACAAGAGAAAAGACACGAGCGCATTCAAGCCTGATATGCAAATGAACAAATGACGGGAAAGGAGAAAAAAGGTGAAGAGGTGAGTGAAGTGATCCCAACAATACAAACAATCCCAAAAGGGATATTCTATTCCCAAATTTAATGAACAGTAAGATTGAAAATTTTGGTGAAAATCGGCAAAACATATTCTCCCCCTGCCAATAACTGTAACATGAAGATAACATCATATCCCAATTGCCTCGCCTTGCTTTTTCCAATTAGAACATTAACCTTATTGTGTTAACCTTGTTGGATTATATTAAATTATAATTACACGTATGTGAATATTTTGAGAAAATTTTTCATTATCACAGGACAAGTTTCTATTTTTATGCTGAAATAACATTTAATAAGCGCGTTGTCTTTTCTATTTGAATTATGGCTTAAACTAACTGTTATGGATTTCATTGATTCAGAAGAGACAGTTGAAGCGAAGAAAATTTTCTTTTCGACGAAGTCATCATCAACTAGGCTGTACATTTGTGTATTTATAATAAATGGATGCGAAAGTTCCAGAACAATTTCCGGTTAAGGGTCAAATTAATAAAAATTACAATTAGAAATTAAAATGCCATAATAAACAAGTAGCATCATAATTACTAAGAAGAATGACATATTTTACAATTGGGGGGTTAGAAATGTAGAAATAACAGGAATAGACAGGATGTTTGGATAAAAAATCTAGTGGGATCATAACTAATGTGACGAATAATTGTTTGTGCAGTTAGGGATTAAATACGTAGAAATAATAAAATATCTATATAGATAAGAAGTTCGGATATGAAAATATGGTAGTGTAAGTAGAAATTAAGAAAAACTCCAATATAACATGAATAAACAGGAAGTTTAGATAAGAAAGGCGATGGGATGGTCATTACCAAAAAAATTACCTATTTATGATGGCCATGGCAGGGACAGGGGTTTGGATACAAAGCGTGGGTTTGAGCTTTTGGATAGCTAGTGCCTCGACAATGCCAGAATGTCTTAATTTCACTCCCTTTGATAGGTTTGGTTGAATCTTGTATATTACTTTGAAGGATTTTTCGAGTGGCGCTGAATGTCCTGAATTGACCAGATGTTCTGTCACTGAACTGTATACACGCTTTTGGTCTCCTTTTACTAGCCAGGCTGGGTAGTGTTCACGAGCGAGTTTTTCAAGTCGGTGCATGGTACAGCCGATATACTCAGCTCCACAAGAGCAAGTAAACTGGTATATGCACGTTGAGGTGGCCCAATGCGACAGCTTGTCTTTCGCGTTCTGGCTGAATAATTCATTGCAGGAAAGCGTCAGTAATAGGCTCGCGGCAAAGTATGTTTTCCTCAGCGATTTGGAGAGGCGTTTACGAAGGATTTCTACTTCAATATCACCTTTGAATTCTAGATCAAGCAGAAGTAATTTCTTTGGAACGGATTGGACTTGTTCGGAAGTCTTCTTAGATTTGAGATTCTTGTCTATGAACCTGGGCGGGAAACCGTTTTCCATCAGGGTTTTTTAGAGATTACGCAGTTCGTCTTCAATCACTTCCTCACTGCATATCTTCCGAATCCTCGAGGAAAGAGCGTATATCAGATTCCTCTTTCTGCTTAGGAGCACGAAGCTGTGAAAGTTCATCACTTGTCCATTCCATGTAGGCTTTTTGTATATGGACCTTTTCAGAGAGTTGTTGGCGTTTCTTGTCAGATGGACGTCGAGGAAGTGGAACAGTTCGTCGGATTCAGTCTCAAGTGTAAAGTCGATATTTGGGTGGGCGTTATTGAAGATTTGAAGGTTTTTTAAGTCACAATTCTCATCACAAATAATGAAAGTATCATCGATGTATCTCTTGTAGAGATGGAGGTCGTTGTTGATAAGGGTTTTTTTTCTAAGCTAGCCATAAAGCAGTCGGCTAGGAAGGGTCCTAGGGGAGAACCCATTGCTACTCCTTGTTGAAACTGAAGTATACGTTGAAAGTGCATTGTAATAACAGTTCTTTCAGGTAATGGATCATTGATTGATGAAGTCACGTTTTGGCTTGACCACCAATAGCTCTTTTACAACCTGACCTATACTATATCAGGAAGGCAATGACTAGGTATTAGTAAAACATATTATAATCATCTCAATTGATGCAACTGCTTTACAATTTCGTCGACTGATTTTTCCCTTCTGACCCTGCACTCGACCAATGCATAATCTCAATATTTTTACCCTACAATGCCTATCAGCTCTAACAGGGAAGATAGAACACAGACACCTATGATCAAAGACAGCTGGTCAATCTTTCCATGTTTTCCGCACTCGATGGCTATGTCTCACAGCTATAAAGTAGGACGGAGCTAACTGTTGAGCAGTATACACGTCGGATATTACGTCTACTAAGCCAGAGGTGGTATAGGTCGTGGGAAAGTGCCAAAGTAGCCTTCTATATCCATGTTGAGATTTGCGTCAGCGATCAACCCACTGATGTTAGCTGATGCAACTTCCCAACGCCCAACCACCACCACTTCACTCCCCATCTTTAAGCTAGAAGTGAGTCGATGTAGTCCAGTCCTGTAGCACCATCTTATGTTTGACAGCAGCGAATTGCATGCCAAACATTCGAATACTGCTGCTCATCAAGGTGTTCAGAAGACTCTGCTCTACTTTGATCAGCGTCTTCACCTAGGACGCAGGACAACACATCATCTGCATATTCTAAGTCGACGAGACTATTATTCCCTGATGGTAAAAAGTCAATACCTGAGTCGTTGAAGTCAGTTAAGGTTACGTATCCATTACTACATCAATGAGGAAATTGAACAAAAATGTGGGATAGTATTGAGCATCACTGAAGGACACCACTGGGTGTCATCACCACTTCAGATAAGTCCTCAATTCACTAAACTATACTTTGATAGAGTTTAATTTTTGTATGAACCATCAATATTTATCCCATAGACATAAATCTTCGCTACAATCACACATGGATAATTACAGTGAACAAAAGGCAGTTGACTTCAACCTCTTAACCATTTTTCTTACACACACTCTCTCATATATTCACAAATATTAAAAAGGAAAGAAAGGGAGACAATATATGATGAAGTAAAAAATTGCACATCTACACATAGGATAGTTATTGATAACAGACCACTTAAACAAAACAGACGAAGAGTGGAAACTATACAAAAGGAATAAAAAGACTGTTACTATTATTATTACTAATAATCATATAAGTAGTAAGGAGAAATATTGATAAATAAGTAGACGCTACAGCCAATGTCTCTCAAACTAAGATGGCGCCTTTCTCAACCATCTTATAAGTGAGAAATTTATCATAAGCATTCTCATCCACTAATTCATTCATTCATCCATTATCATCATGTTGCAACTGATTCACGTCTTCTTCCTGTATCCACATCAAAACAACCAGCGTTGCTATGGTTGTCGTCCTCCACACTGATGTGACTATCTTGTTGACGAATTTTAGGGAATGGTTGTTCCAGGACATGTTTTTCCTAGAAATGAATGGAAGGAGAGAAACTAGTCATTTTACACTGGGATTAATGTAGGAGCTCATAAATTTAATATTAAATTTAGACCTATTGCAATTACCACTCTCCTTTTTGAAATAAATGAAGAAATTATTTTACTCAACCTTGAAGCCTCCTTGAAAAGTTTTAACGATCTCAAACAGTTTGTTTATAAACAGGGTAGAAGTACTTTAGATGCAGTTGCTGCTGTCTTATATCATAATATTGTTTCTTCCTTAGATAAAGGCGCTAAATATGTCCAATGTACCTTCCTTGAATATACATCAGCCTTTAACTCCGTGCCCAGATGCCTCTTGTGAAATAAACTTTAACTGAACACAAGCCGAGTCCTGGACTGTTAACTGATTCCATCTTCATTTCTCTAATAGAATGCAAATATGCATATCTCCCACTGCCTTGCTTGCTTACTGAAGCCGGTGTCTCTTAAGGCGCTGATTCTCTCTCTTATTCTTCTTTTTTCTCTCTTCTTACATGACTTGCCTCTACCGGATGAAATCAACCTTGTGAAATACACCCAGGTCGTGGATGCATTGATCATGTGTTCACTCTTCCTCAGTTGTTGGAACACTGCCACATATATTGCAGGCCAACAATCTTTGTGTTTCTTGATATTAGGGTCGCCTTCGATTCGTTGCACAGAGCTGTGCTCTGGAACTGTCTGTTAGAAAATTTCTTAACATCTTGAAAGCCTTATACAGAAACACCTCAGGTAGAGTGAGGGCACACAACCAACTATCATCACTGTTACCAACCTACAGTGGGATTAGACAGGGTTGCCTAATCTCCCCATTTCTCTTTAACTTAGACATTGAATGATGTTCTGGAGTCAACTCTGAAGGATGTGAGTGAAGGTGGCGTAGATCTGCTAGTTGTTGTGTGTTGTTGGGGGGTTTCATAACAAGCTCTTTATATTATGATCATAATAATAATAATAATATTATTATTATTATTATATTAGGGCCGGGAGAGGAGTACGAGCATATTTCAATGCAAGCAGAGTCAGTTACTGTAAACAGTGCCCTCTCCACTGACTGTCCGAATTTTTTTCTTTATTTTGATAACCAAAACAGATCGTATCCCTTGGCGTCTCCCCCGAGACTATGAAATCAGGAACATCTTATCAGGACTCTTGCGCATAGGAGACAGCCTAACATGCCTCGTGGTAACGAGACCAACCTCCAATCCACGATTCATACAACCTCGTTTCATCATATACCTTAGCGGACGTCGCATGCCCTTATGACTATCCCATTAGGGTTACCAAGGTCTTATGATCCATACTAGCTGTCATTCAATCAACACACATACTACGGTCTCCAACCTTTGCCACTATATCTACACTCCTTCTGCCCGGGGTCCTAAATCCGCTGCAGACGCAACCGAGGAGCAATAAAGGATTATGAGCAAAAGGTCGAAACATATGGTTTCCACGATGCGGCCCTGCAAATTATCAAACTAACAACATCAACGCTCCACTCAATCATTCATTCATTAGACGTACTACACTGCTCTCATGCGTACGCGGGGCCTTGTATACACACACCCAATACAGGTCGCCCGGTTGACTTGGCGTCACATCATACATGATCATCATTCCCATTCTTTAAGAGCAGTGTAATATCACCAAACATACCACCTAAGCCGCCATTTTAAACCAATTTTCTTTTTAAGTTTTCTAATGTTTTTGTAAAACATTTTTTGTTGTGTTTTGTTTTTCTTTATTTTGTAAATGAAGGAATCAGGAGAGATTTTTTAAAAGAGTTAAGTCAGAGGTCTAATCATCAGACATGCTTTACTGATCCTAAGCTTTGTTTATAAAAGACGTGAATTTTGTGAAAGTGTTACTCTGCTTGCAGGTAGGTTACCATTGCACATAAGTGTCGTAGCATGTTAGCGAGCCTATGATCGCTTGTTCACACAGTCAAATGATTCGTTATCTAGGAATTTCGAGGAGTTTCCTAAGCGCCTTTTCTGTTTTTGAGAACATTATACCTCACATACTAATAATCACCGGAATATGATATGAGTTATATCATCTGTGTACTAACCTCTCTTGCCTATTTCTTCTATATATCGGGTATTCAACTCATTCGTGTCGTATTTCCTGACCTTACCATTCCAAGATGATCTTAGTCTGTGGTCAGCGCAAATCTTAACATCTAGAATGTACGTCCTACCGTGCTCATATGGTATCATGTCAGGTTTACAATATGTTTTCCCCTTTTGGATCTTAGGTTCCATAATTGTCTGGTATCCTCGTCTATTTAATATACCCATTAAACTATTCAATACTCGATTATGCCTAAGTGTTCTGCTGCTGTGTGTTATCCTACAGCTTTGTAGGATATGGGTAAGCGTTTCAGCTTTACCGCATCGTCCCTTACATTTGAGGTTACCATTGTTCCTGCCTCCTATTGACCCTCTGACCTTCCTTAGTCTTGAGAGTTCCCGCTCGTAGCTGTATAGCTCGTTTATACAGCCATGGGAACATTTTATTGGGCTCAGGCTTCCTGACCTAATCGTGAGACACCACGCTTTTATGGACCCCTTTCAATCCTTTGCCATCCAGGGTACTGTATAGTACAGTGCGCTTCTCCAGTGTGCCCTCATCAAGGTTGTATCAGCCAGTAGGATCTGGCTGTTAATAAACCTAGACGTATCTTGGAATACTGACGTGAATTTAATAGTGTCGATCAAGTGGCATTCCCTATCTGTCAACTTTTTTTGTCTCTTTTTTGTCTAATTATAGGCACTGTATAAGCTAATGGCTCTAAACCCAGTCCGCCATCTTTAATGTGTGCATATACAAAGCTTACAGGGGTGTCTGGTGGTAGTCCTAACCACTTTCTAACATATTTTGCGAATGATGGTGCCGATTTCCTCAATTGACGAGGTCCTAACCAATCCTAGTTGTAATTTGTAGTGAAGTTTTGGGATTTCGAATGACCGTAATATATCCATTTTATGTATGGTGTCTATCGGCGCTTCATTTGCTACTTTAGTATTCTGAAGGCCTCTCTGTTTACGTTGAAAGACTTAATACCACCGATACCATATTGAATACCTAGATATTTAAATGAGTCCGTACTATGTAGGTTCCTTATATTTATTCTGTTGACTGACAATGTTGTATTATCGATAGACGATTCCCCATCCTTACCCAGTTTAGTCCTTGTTATAGAGAAGGATTTATCAGTGTTGATTTTAAGTCCACATTTGTCTAGGTTTATTGCTAGAGACTGTAGTTTATTTTGTAAAACCACGACGCTTGAGGAGGCGAAGATAATTAGGTCATCAGCATAGGCTATGGAACTGATGCAGCTATCGCTTATCCCTACTCCTCTATTGGGTGCCGATAGGCTGATGACCTCGTCCATGCACAATATGAACAGCATGGGAGAGAGCGGGTCTCCCTCTCTAACCCCTCTATTTACCGAGAAGGTTTCTTTACCTATTTTGACTTTGGTCCTATTATATGTAGAAGCCGTGTAGTTCGCCAGTGGATCTGGTGCACCATACCCGCTTGTTACTCTAGTTATGGTTTTGTGAGACACTGAGTCGAAGGCCTTGGATATATCAACCGAGCAAACTGCCATATTCAGGGAGTTCCTCTGAGCCTGCTTTAATCTTGTATCCAGAATGATGTTTGCATCTAGGCATCCATCTCTTTTTTGGAAGGCTACCTGAGAGTTTAGTCTAGACAATCGTCTGCTCCATCGGTCAGCCAGTTGAGACACCATTGAGACACCTAACAACCACTGGAGAGATTGAGATCAGTATGTATTCCGATGGGAGCATCGGGTTGTCGCACTTTGGTATAAGTACAACCCTTACGATCGCATGATGATCAGGGATGTTTTAAAAAGCTAACATTAAGTTAGGAATCGCTCCCAGTCCTTGGATGTTCCTTCGGCCTAGAGCTTTCGGTGTAACCCCATCTAATCCTGGGGCTGAACTACCCATTCGTTTAAGGGCCTCGTCTACCTTTTCTACCTCGTCTATTGTTTTAACTATTTCCCAGTCTGTTTTGAATCTTTTTTTAATCTTCTTTTTGTCTACTGCACTAGCCTGTTCGAGGATGTTACGCCAGTATTTTGTACAATTTTGGGGTAAAAGGGGTAAAGGTTTGAAGGCGCCTAATCTCTCCATTTCTCTTTAACTTTGATATCGATGACATTCTGGAATCAGCTCTGAAGGATATGAGTGCAGGTGGTGTAGATCTACTACCTTGAGACAGACTTTACAACCTCCAGTATGCAGACGATATCGTCTTACTGGGCGATAGCATGCAGGCTGCCCAGATTGCGATCAGTGTCTGTAAGTATGGTATGTACTTTTCGCCGTCTAAGTGCAAAGTCTAAGTACTGTTACAAGATTGGCAGGAGCCTGTACCTGCATTCACTCTTGCGGGTGAACCGCTTGAAGTTATTTATAAGTTCGTGTATCTGGGTAGTTGTGTGAGTGACGGATGAGATTTTCGACCGTATAATGAAAGCTAGGATGGCATACATCAACTTCAGCCACCGCTGGCGCCGCCGCGACGTTAGCCTGGCTGTCAAAGTTCGAGTATACAATGCCTCGGTGCGGGCTGTCTTGCTCTACGACAGGCCTGTGAAACCTGGCCTCTCCGAGTAGGCTGAAGATGTTCGGCGGCGTGTGTTTGAACACAGTGGAGATCACAACTAATTGAGTCCCCTCATCTGGAAACACCGGCTTAGGTGGTTTGGACATGTGCTACGAATGTCATCCCAGAGGCTTCCGTACAGGTCTCTGTTCGCTAGCGTTGAGAGACGAGATGGAAAAAGTGGAGGAGTGGTTAGTGCGTGACATGGCGTCGTGGGATGAAGGATGTTTGTGCTAGATTAGCATCGGTTGGTGAGTCACGACTCCCTGGTTGGGGTCCGAGAGATAGATCGAATCGATGGCTCGAAACGTTATCGGATATGGCCAAGAATCATAATCAGTGGTGAACGTGTTGCAATTTCCTTCTTTCTTCCCTTCCCGATGATAGTTGACGAATACTGTTTGAACTTGTTAAGCACGACTGTTTTCCTTCCAGATGAAGTTCTATATCCGTTCTCTACCTATATATACATATATATATATATATATATATATATATATATATATATATATACATATTTCTCTTATTTCTTTTGATCTATGTTGTTTTATTATTATTGTGTGGAGTATCTTTCTTGGTGCTATATTGTACCAAGTTTTTTCTGCGTTTAAATAAATAAACAAATAGATGACTGTTCCAAACTAATAGTCTACTATTCTTCGTATTACATGGTTGGAGGCAATCGGCAGGAAGCTCTGTTTGACCTAGATTTCATGCTAGTTGGCACTCAACAGTCAGTCAGTCAGTCAGTCAACAAGGCGTACCTCCAACCTCGAAGGAACCATACTCAATGGCCCTTCTGAGATTTAAACCAGCGTCACCTGGTGCTGCGATCACAGACTTTACCACTCAGTTATTCAGGCTCGCGATTGACCTCCTCTGTAGGACTGTATTGGACACTAGTAACGAGTGTGATATGTCTAGTCCTATCTTTAAAGCCGAGTAAATTCGATCAGTGAAGTTTGTAATGTGACCAGCAACAAATCACAGAGAAAACCGTGATGTTGACCCACGAAGTATCATGGTGGTCACATTGGAAACTTTGGACTGGTCGAATTCGGTCTGCACCATGGATAGGACTAGACACACATTACGCTAGTTACTAACTAGTGCCCAATCAAAAAGTCTAATATTCTATTGATTGATGCCAAGTTTCGATTTGACTACCACCTCTCTAACTCTTCTCTAACCCCGGTCCTATTTCAGCTAACAATTCTTAACGAGGAACGCGATGGTTCACCATGTGGCATTTCGATCAATGTGACTCGACAACTTCATCGATTGACTTACCAATTCTTAATTAACTTCAATACTCCTCACCATATTATACCACTATTGGTTATCACCAATTGCAAATGGTTCTCAGTGGTGCGAATGCACTCACTCTTTGTGAACTCATACATCCACCCACTAAACCGACATAAAATTTTCCACATTACTATTCTTCCTAACTCGCATTTCTGCTTATTGTCGCTCGTATGAATCTTCTTTTATTGGAGGGAGGATTTCATCATCAACTGACATCAGTTAGAGAACCAGTGGAGAACCTGCAGGGGAATACTGGACAGCTGTTTCGTCCCAGTTTGAGACTATTCAACAGTACGCACCCACCGACAGGGTTCGAACCCAAGACACTCTGGTTATAAAGCTAGCGTGCTGGTAGACCATTAAGCTTCTGGGACCCGATCCAATGGCCAGTCCATGAATTCTAACTTCTGCCAGTTTATGACATAGCGTGACCACTTTGCAATGACTTATTCGATCCCTACAAAACCAATACTTGAAAATAATTCTGATGCTCACTAGTGACTGGCTCTATCCAGGCAGTGACCTGGGGTTCTAGTGGGAAGCCGTGACCAGTAGGTTGCAGCAGGTTGAAGATGGGGCAGTAACTCATCGAAGAAGACATTGCGAAGTGGTCGCGCTATGTCATGAATTGGCAGAAGTTAGAATTCATGGACCAGCCATTAGATCGGGTTGGGTCCCAGTGGCTTAATGGTCTACGAGCCCGCTAGCTTTGTAACCAGAATGTCCTGGATTCGAACCCTGGTGATGGGTGCGTCCTGATGATGAGTCCCAAACTGGGGTGAAACAGCTGTCCAGTACTACATGGTTGTTGTCCAATGGTTCTCTAACTGATGTCAGCTGATGATGAGACCCTTCAACCAATTAAACTTAATCATTACGAAAACCAATACTCGAAAATTTCCTTTTATTCTCTCTCTCTCTCTCTTGTGTATACGTCTGTATGCTATATGGAGTGTGGTACATCTGAAATCCTGTACTTCTGTGTGCTAAGTTTTATCAGTCAGTATCCAGTTAAACACAAAAGACTGAACACAAACAACGGCTAGCCTCTTCATATCTTTCATTTTAAACGGTAGTGTCTCAAATCAACAAGGTGTTTGTATAGAATGAGTTAAACACATGATATAGTGACTTACCAAATCGTATGGCCAATGATTGAACCAATCATCACTCGAATGCATCATCTTATTGGAATGACTGGAAAGAATTTCATGAATTGTTGATGGTGCATTCGTTGATAAGGCGCACTGAAGACCAGACCATAATTCTGATGCATAAATCGGTGAAACTGGAGCAAGCATTACCAAGAGATCAGCCAATGCACGCAGATAAAGAAAACTTGACGGTCCCGGCCCACCAGCATGAACAGAAGATCTCTATATTCAAAAGATGACGGGGAGAAGTGGCGGGGAGGGGAGAAATATATATCAAATGGAAATTGAAGCAATCTACTTGACTGGATTACAAAAGACAACTTTTTTTAATAAACTCTCGACATCAGTCCAATTGATTAAAAATGTATATTATAAAATTTCGTAAGACGGAGGTTTCAACACAAATGGCAGTCTAAAATGACTCCAGTAGGAGAACCCTTCTCAAAACCTGGGTCCAGATGTTGTGTCTAGTGTTATTCTTAAATAGAGTGTGCAGATTTCCAGTGTTATCCTACCAGCAACATGCTTAATGAATCTATTCCCAGAAATCCTGTAACAGCCACCTGGAAAGATATTGAAATTGTAACTGTATCAAAGTCGTTTCACTGGAGCATGTGTGTCAAGTTTAGACCTATTGCTATAACCTCTCCTTTTTTTAAAAACGATGTGAAAGTTGCTTTCACTTAGTCTTGAACCCTTAAATAAAGCACTTAACGATCCCAAACAACTGGCCTACAAACATAATAGAAGTATTTTAGATGCAGCTGCTGTCATCTTGCATCATAACATCATTTCTAATCTAAACAAAGGGGTTTACATTTGTTTGCTGCGCCTCCGAGATTATACACCTGCTTTCGATTCGGTGGTACCTGGGGATATTTTGTTAAATGAGCTTGTTGTAACTCAAAATAAGTGTTGGGTTGTCAACTGGCAGCATTCTTATTTCCCAAGAAGAAGGCAGTACACTGCATGTAAGGAGAAGTCGTCCACTTCATTGATTACTGCGAAATTCCCGTCCCTCAAGGAGCTGTCCTTTCTCCTTTTCTGTTTTCTTTCTTCTTGCATGAATTACCTCACTCTGATGAAATGAACTTTGTTAAGTATGTGGACGATCTAACTATTTCAATGTCAATTAACTCTCAGTTAGATTGAAAACATTTATTTCTTGATTCGAATTTGAAACAAACAGCAAAGCGTAATAAAGCAGGATGATTTAATGAATTCATCAAATTTCGGTAGAACTCATCAGCTAAATACTCTACATACACGGATATATATACTTTTGAAATTACATTGGGAGATATAAGACTGATAAATAAATAAACTACATTGAATTAGTCATGCAGAAAGACAAGTGCAAATGTTTTCCAGGTCGTGTTCAAATAGATAAGGGGAGAGAGAGTATGAAAGATCAATGATAAATCGCATTACGCTTCAATTACATCACTTAGATAAACAATTAGTCATTAGAGAATACAACAAGAATTGCAAACAGAGTAATATAAACAGTATTAGTTATAATAATAACAGTAATAATAGTGTGAAGGTGAGTTAGGATAATGCTACTGCTAAAAGATAGTTTTAAATGAATCAAGAATAATAATAATGATAATGAAAAGAGGTAGAATAATAAGTAAAACATATTACCATGGTAGATTCAGAGTCACAATCATCTCCTTTTGTACACAGAGACCTGGTTTATAAACCGGAAATCCGCAAGTCTCTGCAATCGCAAGCATCTTTCTGTTTGTCTGTCTGCTGACGACAGTGAATGACTTGACAGCCTCAATACCACGTCAGTAGTCCATGAGATGCTTTGCTACTGAACTCTTTGTTACCTTGAATTCATCTGATTTCAACCACTCTGGCGAATGCTCCATCACGCGAGTAGATAATCGCCTTTCTGTATGAACTATGTATTTGCTTCAACAAACACACTCAAACTGATATATACTCACTTTGAAGTGTCGAGGGTCGGTGACTGGTCTTTCCTAGATTGTTGAAGCACTCACATGGCGGTAGTGTTAGGGAGGACGAGTTTTGCAGTATAATGGGTTCTCTTGATAGCTCTGTTAAGTCTTCGTTTGACTACTTCTTGTACATTATCTCCTTTGAACGGTAAAATGATATATACAGATTTCTTTGGAACTGCTTGGACACTTTTACTGGGGATCATTTCTTTAGAGTATTTTTAGTGATGAACTTCTCTGGATATCCATTATTAGATAAAATATCCTTCAGAGCTTTCGTTTCATGCTCAACTGTCCTGTCAGAACAAATTTTTCGTGCTCTGTTGAAGAGTCTCCTAAGTTCTTTTTAAACTGAATTAGGAACACAATGCTCTTGAAATGCATGTACTGTCCTGCCCATGAAGACTTTGTAAATATAAATCTTTCGATTATGCCATTAGTCATTTTCGCTAGAAAAATGTCTAGGAATTTATTACTATCGTTTCTCTCGCGTTCTATTATGAAATTGAGATTCGAGTGGCATGAATTAAATTTGATCAACACGAGGTCTTCAGCTTTTGATCTCTGCTTCCACAGACAATAAAAATGTCATTAACATATCTTAGGTATACAATCGTTTCTTGTGTATGTTGCTGCAAGGTACCGGTTTTTAGGCCTGACAAGAACACGTCTGCAAAAAGTGATCCCAAGGGGCTTCTCAGTGGCGACATCATCAACTTGACAGAATAGATGCCCGTCGAATTAGAATTGAGCATTCTTAGTACAGCTAAATTGTACTAAAATGATGAACAGCTTCCGCAGAGTGCGAATTTTATCTAGTATATTTCAGGTTCGCAAGCTAGAATTCGTAAGTTGTCAACTGATTCGGTTCTCTCAGTTGAGATAAACCCGGTAGACTGACGCCGAATGAGTGAAACGGCCATCCGGACTTTATATCCCTTCTATCTGTCTAGAAAGCACTAATGATTGATATCAATGGTATCTAACTACTTATATGAATCAATTAGTAATATATATGGTTAACAAAAACAACCTTTACCTGATATTCCACGTTTTATTATTTCACCTGTATAAAAATTAAATAGAAATCCAAGGGGAATATACGCAAATAAACATCTTACCCTAATTAAATCGGTTAATTCATGAAGTCGAGCAATAACTGCACTAATTATAAACGTTTCATCATAATACCCATTCACCTATAACGACAGAGGAGAGTAAAATTGATTTAAAAAACTTTTATGCATATATAGATGTAGGTCAAAGTGAAATATGATGTCCTTCAAAAATACTCAACCAACCAGTAGACCTTCTTCAAAAGATTACCGAATCTAATCCATTGGGGTTTATGATTATAAAGATTTAACCAGGCTAAAATGTAACTTTCCTCATTTCCTTTTGATGAACCTCTTTTCACTTTCTTCTCTTTCTTTATGTGCAACATGGAGGGAGTGTGGCAAGTCGAACTGCTGCTCTTCTGTGCAAAATTCTACGTTGAAACTCAGTAGTTCGGTCAAATAAACCGAAAAACCAAACACAAAGATTTCCACTGACTGGAAAGAAGTGTTGAGGCACAGGTTAACATGTTGACTCTTTGTACGGACGCTATGGACGATGTTCGTCTATGATGACTAACAGTAGAATCTAGAATGCGCACTTAGCTCTATTTAGGAGTCATCATCTGGATTGACTTGCATTTCTCAGTGGGTAAGTAATGGTGTTCCAACAGAGGCTCGAACCTAATACCCATCATTTCAAGCGCCAAGACGTTATCCACTGCATTCTACCACCCACCAAATTACTTCAAGTTTAATCCTTAGAGATATTCAAAGCATTCGCTTAAGGAAGCAACATATAAATAATAACGCATACCCGTTGCACAAGAAGTGCCAGCCACAACCCAAGTGGTTCAGTGAATAACACTTTGGCGTTTGAAATAATGGGTACGGAGTTCGAGCCCCAACGCGAACATCATCATTCATTCATTCAAGAATGCAGAAACATCTACTAGCTGTTGAGGCGTCAACAGGACCAAAATGCACATCATGGATTCCATCCTGCTAATCAATATCCACCAAAATAACTTCAAAACCTTGTTTATGGAGAAATTCAAACAACAGTCGTAGAGTACATTCCAGAAGACTATCCCTCAAAGTCATTTGCATACAGTGTATTAAAGCACCGAGACCACTGGAAGGATACAACAATACTGAAATATATTTATTAAGTCCTGTGGTAACCATTGAACAATGCGCAGATGGAAGCCTACGCAATGACGTGAAGAATAAATTCATTAAAATTACACTGGCTACTTATATGTATTTGTCAGTAATATGTATTTGACTGAAACTTTCTATCCACAAACCAATTTTCATGACTAAAACATTGATACTTTAAACACTGTTTTCTTCGCAGAATACAAACTTATTGAATTGGTCAAACACAAAACAGTTTCAAAGTATGAAACATAATTTGGGTATAAATTCTATCCTTTCCAGCATCCCTTTACGTACTGAGTGAAAACATACGTGTAAGATCAATTCAATTTCCATCATTGAATCAAGTCAACCTGTCCCGGATCAGCCTAGCGTTGTTGCAACCCAATTATCCATGCCTAACGTGTCTATCCCCCCCTTGTTTAATAAACTGTGTGTGTTTTTGCATCGATCCGTTTAGTCAGAGAGTTGAACTCACGACCCAATCAGAGTATTTTGTGAACTGTTATTTTTGCTGACCCATGTCTTACTTTGTACTATTCTGTCGAGTTTATCTTATTTATTGATCTTCACCTGTATCAGCCTACCTGTTTACGTAGCCAATTAAATTCTCTTTTTGTGTTTATGCTTTGTCTATCTCTTAACCGCTCTCTGTTCTATGCCCTGCGTTACTTCGGTTCATTTTTTTACTAACTGCTTACCTGAACGGTCGTGTCTGATTCTGGCTAGTTCGCAATTTTGGCTTTAACGTTATTCCGCTCTGATAGCGGTACCTTGCTTTCTGTTAAGGGTTGTGCTCTGTACTCTTGAAACCGTTAAGGTTTGTTGTATATATAGTTATTGATTTGTTTATTAATAGTATCGTAGAAACAGTGACCGGCTTCTGGTTTGTTCTGGACCGGGATAGCCTTTATCTACGCGTGACTTAATTTCAAGCGATATTGCGCTTACAATACGACTTCAAAGTTTCGCTAGAGATTGTGTTTCTTCTTTTGACAAGAAGTTGCCAACCTCAGTCTTCCCTATTTACTAGACTTATTACCGGTTAAGAGCGTCGGTGGTATAGCGGTAAGGACGCTCGCCAACCATACGCATGGTCCGGGGTTCGATCCCCGGCCACAGACGCACTCCTTTACCTCGCTAAGTCAGTAATAGAATCGGCAAAGTGGGAAGGTTGGGCATGCGGCTAGCAACCCCATCCTGTAAAAATTAACACTGCTACAGAAACTTCAAGCCACTAGCTTGAAGCCCTATGTTCCACTGGAAACGTGAAGGAGAAAAAATTACCGGTTAAGCGAATTTTACCAGTACCTCTGTCCGGAATCGAATCAAAACCGTGTTTTTGGTTGGCTATGATTCAGCCATTGAACAGCTTACACTTCCATACCTTTTCGTATTTTTTACACTAGAAAAATTTCTTAAAATGTGAATGTTGCATATCATCAGTTGAGACTATTTCAATGCCTAATTTATTCGTAAACATGTAAACCTCGTCACTAGGTAACATCAGTTAAGGAATCACTATTACCCAGGGAGAGTACTGGGACCCATAAGACCACCACCAGTAATCACATACAGAACCTTTAATTCGTTGGAGGATTTCATCATGAGCTGACATAGGTTACAGAACCACTGAAAAACCTGGGAGTACTGGACAGCTATTTCGTCCTAGTCTGGGACTCTTCACCATTACGCACTCATCAATACGGTTCCAATCCACGACCTTTTGGTTACAAGGTGAGCTCGTAGACCATTAGGCCACTTGGACCCGATCCAATGACTAATGAAGAGTCCCGAACCAGGACGAAACAACTGTCCAGTACTTCCAGCTGGAGTTCGAATGGTTCTCCAACTGATGGAAGCTCTTGATGAAATCCTATAGCCAATCAAACAAAATCTCTACAAAACCAATACCTGAAAACAGAACCTTTAACACTATGAGACCAGCTCGTTGAACGTTCATCAGTCATTGGGTTAAAATTCCAAGACCTTAGATGGCCACTGATACAATTCAATGACTATAACACATCCAGATGGTAACAGAGCATGGAATTATCCAAATAGGAGCAAAGGCGAATAACACACACAGAGACACACCCACAAAATGAACAGGAAATTACCCGTCTTATAACAGATTCATAAAATTTAAGAAAACTTGAAGATTGAGTTAACAGCGGGTCATCCAGACCACATTTTAATTCCCATGGCGTATTAGAATTTTGTGCATGGACAGAAAATTCTATTAACTGGTCAATAATTCGATTCATTTTAGTTAACCAATTAATGACACCTTGAATTACTATGGAAGGAAAACAAAAAGAGAAACAATAGTCGGGATAGACGTTTATAGGTAGAATAATATAAAAAAGGTGACGAACGAATATTCAACTCGGTGAAACTGTTGACCCTTTACCTGTTATTATTTTTATGGTTCCGCAATCTTTGCTAGACTGACCACTACTACTCCGTAAGTATTGTTCTATTATTCTAGTGATTCGATGTGCTTTTCGAACATTGAGCACGCATCATCAAGGCTACTGTGGAACTTCATGAACACTCACCTTTCCTGCTGATATATATCTTACTTACTTACTTTGCTTCGGTTATCTCCTACGGGAGGATGAACCGGCTTCATGAACATCTCGAATGTTTGTAAGAGAGTTGATGAAGTTTCATGGGAATTGGGTACGAGTGATGTCCCCAGCATCGCTCGGCCTTTTCTTTGAGAGTGCAGCTGTAGCCCTTACACAACCAAGTGTGACCTACAAGGCAGTAGGAGTGGAGTAGGGAGTCCACTATCCATTGGAAGCCAGCCGGTGACCGGAGTCCGGTTCATACGCCTTTTTGAATGGGGCCAGACATCCAGGGCATTCAATAAGCCCTTTGTCCATACGTCTCCCGGTGAACTCCGGCGAGCTTCATATGCCAGTTTGTTGGAGGTTTGGAATCAGGGTTTAGCCATCTCCCTTCGACTGTCATCCAGTGGACAGTCAACCCGGTGAAGAGCGCCGGGCATCTGCTTTTGCCCTCTCACTTCGGTGAAATAAACACCTTCGCCACGTGAAGGCAGTGACACATATCCATATAATATGTGTGTTTGTTTGATAGTCTGATATATTTTGCTATGTATATATGGATCGATATTCCATTATAATTAGCCAATCATGTTAAGACTGTCTATTGACTTGTTCATTTTGAATATTCGCTCACACACTTGTTCGGACATTCATATATTTTTGCTCTCACACTCTTGTGTGACATTATTGATTCTCCTTGTGTTTTGGAAAATAGAAGTATCATCGCAAACCTAGTGGTCTTCTGATTTCCGTCTTTCTTGCGTCGGGACTATTAAATTCTCTACCAGCACATAAAAATAATTTGGCGACGAGTACAAAATACCTGCCCATTCGATAAACACCAAAACAGCCAGTTAGAGAACATAAACAACAAGAAACACTAGCAGAAAACCATCCAACACCCTATTTCTCTACATAGATGCGCAAGGAAATGGTGATAAACACTGAGAAGATACATTGAGTGATAGCCGACATTAGGCCGTCGAGTGGAATTGGAATGGTAGGTGAGAAGGTTTGAGAATAATACGTTGTAAAGCGTTGGTAAAGCCAGTTGCAAGTGATGGAAGAAAAACGAGTACAATGGGGTGGTGTTACTAGATGATTGGGGTGGGGTAGTCGGCAGGAAGCCTTCATCCTAGGTTTCGATGTTTGTTGGCGCTCAGCAGTCAGTAATATGTATTTGCAGTCTTGAAGGAACAACTCGGGGTCTCTTCTGCGATTTCAAACCATGTCACCGCCCAGTGCTGCAGTCAGAGACGTTACCGCTGACCAACTCCTGTAGAACTCTATTGGATATTTTGCTTGTAGACTAGTCAGTTAATAGTGAAAGAGTACCACTGAAGCCCCTCCCCGCATGTTTCACTCGATGTCCAAAGAAATAATAATATATGTCATAGTCAACCCACAACACAGTAACCAACCTTCACTTTCCTATGAGTTTTTTTCATTATCAATCAAGACAACCAGCATAATATCGCCCGGTCAGCTACAATCCAGGTATCCGAAGGGAAAAGTAAAGATAGAAGAATTACTCAAATTAAGGAGACAGATATAATTCTGACAAGCTGGTGAAGACTTTAATTTTCTACTGTCTTGGCACTATAAAAGGCTTATCAATATCCGATCAATCAAAGCGCAGAAAAGAAATATGAAACCAAAGGAAATGTGTAATATATATATGTCGTGACCAGTAGGGTGCAGCAGGTCGGATGCGAGGACAAATACTCGCCGAAAACATTGGCTGCGGTCGCGCTATGTCGTGATTAGCAGAAGTTAGAATTCGTGGAAAACCATTAGATCGGGTCCCAGTGGCTTAATGGTATATGAACTCGCCTTATAACCAGAAGGTCCTGGGTTCGAACCCTAGCGGTGGATGCGTACCACTGATGATTCCCAAACTACGAGGAAACAGCTGTCCAGCACTCCATGGTTGTTTTCCAATGGTTCTCTAACTAATGTCATCCCATGATGAAAATCCTGCAACCAATCAAATCCCTACAAACCAACACTTGAATAAATATGTAATAACAAGGTCAATGTCAGTACGAAAGTGATACTTCACTAAATCTATAGATCAGAATCGTGACTTATTCTAACATTTCTTAGACCACTGTTTTTTGTCAAAACTCTATCGCATTTCATCAGATAAGGAAGAGTTCTACCTTAAATAACGCATATTCAATAAGCTTTACTCCAGACCAACTCGTGTATCTACATACTCTTAAGCTAGAGTGGGTCCACTATGAATACAGTTACCCTCCAACCCTAGGAGGACTGACTAAGCATACGAATTCACAATCTCCCACCCTATAAAATGTAAGACCGGCGTTCTATGCTGGATTCGCCCGCTTCATTTAAGTGGATAAGTCAACTGTCAGATAGCAACTAATTCAATTTGACCTAACTGACAAAACTGAGACCTCTACAGTCACACAATATGAATTACATAATACATTTAGTGAAATGGTAGAGCGTGTTGACCACTTCACTTATTTGGGAAGCTGCATCAGCCAACGCCAACGGGTTGATCGCTGACGAAATCTCATCACGGATACAGAACTCTCATTTCGCATATACCAGTTTACGCCATCTCTTGTGTAGACGCGATAACCGCCTATCGACCAAAAAGACGTGTGTACTACTCAGCAGTCCGCTCCGTCATCCTTTATGGCTGGTTGTGAGACACAGCCATTGAAAGTGGAAGACATGAAAAGATTAGCTGTCTTTAATCATAGGTGTCTGCGTTCTATCTCCCATGTGAAATGGTATAGTAGGGTGAGTAGTATTGAGGCTCGGCTTCGGTGAAGTGCTAGGTCAGGAGGGGAAATCAATAGACGAGGCTGTGAAGCGACATCGATTGAGATGGTTAGGACATGTGTTATACATGCGTTTCAAGCCATTGATCGCCTTCGTCGACGGGTAATGTTAGCTGACGTAGGGTCAGGTTGAAAGCAAGCCATTGGTGGTCAAACCAAAACATGGCTTGATCAGTCAATGAAATTCACAACAGTTAGTTTAAGCCAGTCACGTAGGAAGGTGTACACTTCCTGACTAGTTGGGGTCCTCAGGACGGTGATAACCAATGGCTGTAGACAGTCAGTGATATGGCTCAAAATAGTTCTTAATGGCTAGCTCAGATGCATCCACTCCTCCTGAGTGAAGTGTGGCCACTGGAACTGCTGTACACCGGTGCAAAGTTCTATTTTGAAACTAGACAGACATAACACATTTGCCACACATAATAATAATAATAACAATAATAAATATGTAGGTTCATTAACTTACCATCTCCTTCAGTCCATTTTCTTGCTCTATGCGGTCCAACATTAGACAGCATAGTAATACGTACTAAATCCATGCCATATTTACTGACAATCTCTGCAGGATCAATTCCATTCAACTTGGATTTACTCATTTTATCCCAATACATTTCAACTGGGGTATTGGTTGCTTTTTCATAATATTGAACTGGAAGTGAAATTATTATAAGAATAGTACCATGAAAAGTATTATATATATATATATAACAGTGGGGTTAGACAGGGTCCCCCGATCTCTCCACTTCTCTTTAACATTGTGGTCGATGACATTCTGGAATCGACTCTGAAAGGCGTGAGTAGTGGTGCTTCCTGGAGAAGTACTTTCCGACCTCGAGTATGCAGACGATGGCATCTTACTGAGTGACAGTATTCAGAATGATCATATCGCACTTAATCAGTTGGCGATCAGGGTCTGTAAGTATAGTATATGCTTTGCGCCGTCTAGGTACAACGTACGGTTACAAGATTGGCTGGAGCCCTGTACCAGCACTCACACTTGCAAGTGAACCGCCACATGAAGTTTTCGATAAGTTCACATATCTGGGTAGTTGTGTCAGTGCTAGAGGAAGTGTGATGGACAAGATTTCTAACCATATTGTAAAAGCTAGGGAGGCCAAGCGTCAACTTCAGCCGTCACGATGTTATCCTGGCTGTCACTGGTCAGGTTGACAATGATTCGGTGAGCGCAGTCTTTCTCTACACCCGTGAAATCCAGTCTCTAAGAGGCGAGTATATGCAGAGACTCTTTCTGCTTATTCAATCGTTGCTGTCTCCGTAGTATTGCTTGCGCTTCGTGGCTTCATCGTGTGAGTAATTCTGAGGACCGGGAGCGTGTGTTTGGACAGAGTGGAAACCGCCATTCATTGAGTGTTGTCATCTGGAAAAGGCTGCTTCGGTGGCTTGGACATGTGCTACGAATGTCATCCCATTGGCTTCTGTGCTAGTCTCTGTTCGCCAGCGCTATAACGTGATGGAAAGTAGACCAAAGGTAGCCAGCCTACGACGTGGCGTCGTGGGATCAAGGATATTTCGGGTAGGTTAACATCGACTGTTACATCACGACTCCCTGGTAGGGGTCCAATAAACAGTTCAAATCGGTGCCTCGAAACTTTATCGGATACGGCCGAGAATCGCAAGCATCAATGGCTAAAGTGCGGTGATTTCCTTCTCTCTTCTTTTTAGGACAATAATTCAACGAATGGTGTTTGATCTTGTTAAATATAGCTGCTTCTTTTCCGGATGAGCATTTCGGTGCTAATGGCAATGAGTGGTACCAGTTGCGAAAGTTAATCAAACTATTTGACTGCCTTAACCACGCTAGATGGAGTACGACTCGAACCAGTAACCATCCAGCAGTTGAAAGCTAGGCAGTTATCAAAACCAGTGAGTTACAACTCCACTTCAATGTTATGAAGTCATGTTGAAAGTTACAGCTGGTCAGATGGAAATATTCAGTACACTGTCTCTTTTAGTAACGGTTGTTGAACAATCAATTCGAACACAAGTGTCAAGAGTCAGAAGGTCTGGAGGATGGATATCCTTGGAAAAAAAGCGTATGAAGAACAACTCACGCAAGGAACCTTCGTATGTTTAAGATGCTATTCGCTCCGGCTGTCAAATGTAAGATGCTGCTGTGAGACTGTATCGCACCTATTGTTGACCACTTCACTGATTTGGAAAATCGCATCAGCGCTAATTGACTAATTCCTAGCCATATTTCAGGACGTTTAAAAAAAGAGCTCGTATGATATTCGTCAACATAAGTCATCTCTGGCGTAGATACAATATCCTGCTATCTATAAAGGGACACGTATACTGAGCAATAGTCCGCTCTGTCCTTCCTTCCTTCCTTCCTTACGATTATGAGAAACGGTCATTGCAAGGGGAAGAAGACTTGAACAGGCTAGTTGCCTTTGACCATTGGTATAATGTACTAAGATGAGGTGAGGTGAAATGTATCTATCAAGTATTGGTTTGTAGGGATTTCTGTTTGATTGGTTGGAAGATTTAATCATGGGCTGACATCGGTTAAAGATTTATTGCAAAACCAGCTGGGAGTACTAGACAGTTGTTTTGTCAGTCTAGTTTGGGACTCTTCAGCAGTACGCATCCACCGACACGGTTCGAACCCAGGATCTTCTGGTTACAAAGCAAGCTCATATACCCCCAGTGGGTGCGCGCTGCTGAAGAGCCCAAACTAGGCTGACGAAACAACTATCCAGTACTCCCAGCTAGTTTTCGAATGGTTCTCTGACCGATATCAGCTTATGATGATATCGTCCAACAAATGAAATGAATCTACGAAGTCTTCGACAGTTAGTTTCAGCCACGTAGATTGCCTCCTTGGTATTCTCGGGGGCTAAGAACCAGTGACTGGAGACTGTTGCTGATATTGCTGAAAACTGTTCTCTTCCTTCCGTACATTTTCGAGTCTCTCCTTTGACTACTTTTGTGTGTTATACGAAGAGTGTGGCGAGTTGAACAGCTGTGCCACATTAAGACTGACTGAGTCAGTCACTTAATCATTACTGAGTACAAACATCTATTCATATAACAAGACAAGAAAATAAAAAAAACATCCCCTTCACATCAAAAAAAAATTTACCCTTTTTATCAGACACTGATATTTTCTCCACACTAACAGATGGAATAAAACGACCAGTTTGTGGTTCAATGTACGTTTGACCCAAAACTAAACCAACTGGAAGGAAACGTCTGAATGGTTCACGACATGGTAGAATATTCAAATCATACAGAAAATGTGCAATAAAACGAGCATAATAAAGATGTCGAATAGCTGTTTGAAAGCAGTATAAAACAAAGAGAGAGAGAGAGAGAGAAAGAAACATGTCAGTAGAGTAACAACAAACATTATTTACTATCTGAAAAAGGCAGTAAACTAAAACACTGTGGGAAGACAACAAATATTATTCAGGATAGGGATATTTGTGTATAACTGAGAGTTCCGAGTGGAGATTCAGTAGCCAAGTCACTTTTTCCAAGGAGATTGAGTTGCAAGTCTGAAGTCCAAACCTTCCTCTTTTCTCGGAACACCAACGGTTTCACGAAGTTTTCGAAGTGCGTTAGCAGGTAATCGAGTGATTCCATATCAGTTTGTTTATTAGATGTATCACACAGTGAGTGAAACAGTATTATTTACTGGATGACACAGTTTCGAACACAATTCATTATTGATCATAATCATATCACCAAGTATAATCACACGACTTTCACACTTAAGTTTTATAGTTTCCTTTGTTCTCTCCTATTTGTCATCGTTAGGGTAGTAGAGTTTTCCAGATGTTTGCCTGGGACAGGTGTTGAATCATTCCTATTTTATGTATTTACAGTTGATTTGATAAACCAAGCTTCTGTTATCAATCTCTCCCTCCATCCTGCTGTGACACTAGATTTTAAAACTGTCATCTTATCCCATCCAGCTTATTGTATGGTTGTGTAATGGCATGTATTACTATCTACAACTGAAGTATTCTCTAGATTTCTTATCTTATTCGGGTCAACCAATCTCGATTTTGCTAAGTTTTTATGTTCGGCTAGTCTGGCTGCCCCTGTTCTACTAGTTTGACCTATGGATTTGACCTGACAATCATTTCAGCAGGGTGTTAGATAAACTAAATTGTTTTGTTTTAAAGCCCCCACAGGATTAATCCTTTAACCTTGTTTCTAATTGAGTTTGTGGGTTTGAATGCCAGCCACCTTTATTTCTGCCTTGTTAAGAATTCTGCGTAAGGTTTCCGAGGTTCCTTCCCGATGATCAAGCATTAGCCACAGGCGTGGCTGGGGAGTATTCCTACCCAAACCACCGAATATATATATATATATATACAACTGATTGGTTACTGTGAGTAGACGGGAACTATCTATACACGTCAAACAGTAGTGCTTACTAGCCAGCCAGATCGAAGCGATGTAACCAACGGACGGTCGTTTCGCTCGTTTTGGGCCGAAATCATCAACAATGTACACTGTCCAACTCAGGTCAAACAGCTCAATCGCCTCAAACAACCCATAGATTATGGCTAGCTGTTTAGATGAACTGGTAATGCATTGAATCGAGTTCAAAATTCTTTTAAATTGCAAATTGATCCAGTGACTGAAGGTCCTATGTTCGATTCAAGGTGGAGTCATGGGGTGCGCATTGTTAAAGAAGTGTACCGAACTAGGGTGAAACAGCTATCCCGTGTTCTCTAGCTAGTGTTTGGAGGTAGTTCAGTAGTAAAATGCTCACCAACCACAGACACAATCCGCTTTCGACTGCCAGCTGACGCGCTTCTAAGTCTTAGCCTAGTTTCCTAACGGATAGGAAACCCGGAAAAGGCGCAAGGTTGGGAGTAAGGCTAGTAACCCGAAGCCTGAAAAAAAACACCTACACGACTACTGAAAGTTCAAATAAAAATTCGGGGGACCCTATGTTCCATTCAGAACACAAAAGAATGAGAAGAACAGGAAAACAACTGAGAATTTGATTTCAAATACAATCAAAGTTGAGAAAATTGCAAGCCTCGCACTGATTTCGCTATTATTAAATGGTATAATCCATCATCTACAATTAGACATGTTTTGTTCATCGTTGTCAACCGCACCTAAAGTCCTTTACAGAGTTTCAAACATCTCGTCGCCTTTATTCTACAATTGGTTACCATGGATACATAGATTATCACTTCTCCACAAGTTACTTAATATACTACTTATACGCACTTATAAGTAGTGCGCATCACAGATATATGTTCTCTCGAATAATGACTAAACTTGCCAAACACTTTTTCTAAGAATGCTTTGAAAACCTGTCGAGAAGACCAAAACTTAAGAAAGAAAAACCACTCTCCACCGCTAACTACTTCTTCACAAAATCTCCACAGAAATCCCTGTGACAAAATAGATGCAGATAAATGCCAAGAAGCTTAAAGTCGTTTATTTGGATGTGGCTAGTAGCGGAATTCATGAATTTTATTTCGCTTTAATTAGGACACGTCATTTGCATACCACTGCTCCTCCTCTCCTCCGTTTGATTGTGATGATGTTGCCATTGAAAGTCGGACGGAGAAACCACAGCTTCAAATGCAAAAGCATTATCCACTAAGCCACAGGAGGCATCTGCGATACAAAAAGATTAGTAAAAATCTGCTGAACTACAAGACAAGCTTTCATTACTCTCAAATCTCTGTGGAGGTCAACAGCACTCAGCATCAAAAATAAGATCCGGATTTTCAACTCCAATGTGAAGTCAGTGTTACTATACGGATCAGAGACTTGGCGAGTCATAAAGAGCATCTCCAACAAACTTCAGACCTTCATTAACAGCTGTCTCCGCTCAATACTCAAGATCAGATGGCCAGAAAAGATCAGAAACAGGGATCTCTGGGAGCGAACCAATCAGGAACCGATTGTGAAACAAATAGGCAGAAAGAAATGGAGATGGATTGGCCATACGCTGAGGAAACCATCAAGTGACATCACTAGACAAGCCCTCGAGTGGAACCCGAAAGGGAGGCGGCGAGTGGGTCGTCCAAGGGTGACTTGGAGGAGGTCATGCGAGGAGGAGATGAAAGCATGTGGACATACCTGGAGCAGGGTGAAAAAGTTGTCAGAAAACCGAAGGCAATGGAGGTGCGCAGCTGAAGCCCTATGTTCCTCTAGGAACTAAAGGATACAATAATAATAATAATATACTAAACATCACAAATGATTCAATCCTGGTTCTACACACTACCTCTAAAGACTATGCTCAGATAACAGGAATAAATAAAAAGGTGTGAAAAAACCATGCGAAATAACAAGAACACTGACTACTTATTTCGGTGACTAGCAATATGGAATCCTGGATGTACATTTCGTCGCATTTGGGATTCACCGACTGAATATATACAACAATTAGTTTAAGTCAGTCAAGTAGGAAGGTGTAGACTTCCTGACTAGTTGAGGTCCTCGGGATGGTAAGAACCAATGGCTGAAGATAGTCAGTGATGTGGCTTAAAATCGTTCTCAATGGTTAGCGCAGATGCATCCACTTCTTGTGACTTATAATTTCCAATAAAACTATATTGATTTTCGATATTACTATTCTTTTTGCCTCATATCTTTGTTTACAGTCTCCACTTTGCATTTCTTTTACTTTTTTCTTTGGCCTTTTGTGCTGAGTGAATTGTTGCAACTGAAACTGTTGCACACTGGTGCAAAGTTCTACGTTGAAACCAGTCAGTCAGTTAGCTGAATATAACCGCATTCCTATTGAGTGATGGTATTTCCACTGAAACTGGACACCAAGACATGTGCCATACAAAATACCATAGTTTTTCTGACGCCTGAGGCAATGCTCGGACACCCAGACCAAAGTAGATGGTTGTTTTAAGGCGTTAGCCTCCGAGTCTTTGGCTTGAAGTCTCATCCACAAAGCAGTAGAGTAGCGTCGGAAGCTCTGTCCCGATGGTTCCCTGTCACACAAAAAGACACGTTCATACGCCATTCAGTCCGTTCAGATTGTGGAGCCTGTGTACACCATATAGCAGACCTGCTTAGCACTCACGAGGTGTGCAACATGGATGACACTGAAATCGAAACAAAGTCGGAAATTAAATATCTTGGAGTCATTCTATCTGCTGATCTTTCCTGGTCGTCTTATATCCTGATGATTTCTAAGAAAATATTCCGTCTTACCTTCTACATCAAAAAGTTAAGATATTCTGGAATAACCCAACCCTTACTCCTATGATTCGTTAACTCTTGCATCCTGCCTATCATTCTCTATTGTTCCCCCTTTAGTTTTTCCACGGCTACTGAAGGGGGACCATACCTTATTACGTAGGGTGTTAAAGGTTGCCAGCAGAGGAAGCCACAGGGTGCCACTTAACCAGCTTGTTGATATTCTGGTCGACAGGCATTTGGACTCATGTGAAAAATGGGTTAAATCCATTCTATCTATCTAACTCACATCACCCTCTTCATTCACAACTCTCCCCTTATATCTCATCAGGCAGAAACACAAGCCTATATAGAAAACTATATGCTCGCACTAGAAAGTACAAAAACTCAACCATACCCTACCTACTTGGCTCGTGTTGTGTGCGATAAAGAAAGCATTAGGCGCGATACCTATAACTCATTAAATAGTCAGCAGAACAACTGGAACTCGTCTTTCCAAGTCTTATCATTTATACGTACAACATTTTCTTTTCTTCTTTTCCTTTTCTCTCTCTTTTTTTTCTGTTATGTGCTGATTTGTTTCTCTTTTGTTTACAAACTCCACGTAAAACATTCTTCTTCGTTCTTTCCCACTCTGTATATCTCGACCTTTCTGTTATCGCTTACGCCCGTAAATATGCTAGCATCTACTCTTCTAACACCTTCAAACACTGTTCAATTTTGGCTTTGCTACCGACATGCTAATGTGTTGTTGTCAAAACTAACTGACATTACCCTTAATCTATTTAGAATTTTATTTATTGTTAATGTACAAACTGGATGCGCAATACTGTAGCGAAATGCTGAGAATTCCATTCTGTATCACAAGTACTGTTTTGGAATAAAGCAAATTATTATTATTATGTCCAACAGCCCGATTGTAAGCACCAGATGTTTTCATTCACCCTCTCCTCACTTTTGTGAGGAACAGTTCCATCGCAAAGTCTATGAACACACGGCCTGATGAGCAAAGTCTACCAACCAACCCTCAGCTGAAACAGGTTCACTATGTGGACAGGTCATAGCCTGATATATATATATATATAGCAAATCTATCTCAGGTAACTGATTTCAAAACAAAGTACAACTGAGTCTCTTGATATGAGACTGTTCAATAATCAAAACTCTTCTTCTTCTTACCATGTTCTATACCACCAACATATACATCAACAGGTAAACTTTCAGCCGCTTTTTCACGATCACATATCACTTTTGTATTATTCGGATCCAAATATCTTAAATAATACCAGGAGGAATCAACAAATGTGTCTAATGTATCCGTTTCACGATTGGCTGGATTACCACATCTGAAAGAAAAAGGCGAAATATACATTTTCAATCAATTAAATTATGTGTAAGGGTCGTTGTTGTTCAAGGGGTTCAGGGATATAATTGCTCGCCAACCATGCAAGTGTTCCGGGTTCAATTTCAAGCCTGACTCACTCTTGAACAACACCAGTTTTGCCAATAGTAAGCTCAGGAGAAGGGGGAAGGTAGAATTGAAATCCACAACAGTTAGTTTAAGCCACGTAGGAAGATATAGACTACCTAACTTGTTGGGGTCCTCGGAACGGTAATAACCAATGGCTGGAGAAAATTGGTGATATAGCTCAAAATTGTTCTCGGTGATGGTGAAGATGCATCCACCCTTCGTGATTTATAATATCCAATAAAACTATATTGTTCTCCAATATTACTATTCTTTTTGCCTCATATTTCTGTTAATTATCTCTCCTTTGAATTTAACTCCACTCTCTTCTCTTACATTTTATGCTAAATGGAGGGAGTATGGCAACTCGAGCTGTTGCACATCTGTGCAAAGTTCTACACTGAAACCCGTCAGAAAGGATGGACGGGTGCAGATAAGATCAACACTCCCACTGCTACTTAAAGCCCTATGTTCCACTCGAAATGCGTAGGAACGAAAAGTATTCTTATTTCTAATGATGAAATTTCTCTGTCTGACGTGAACTCGAACATGCATCCGAAGAATGTGTGACGCTGTAGATTACTGTCTTAATCACTCACTTGACATTCAGTTAATGAGTATGGAGTTCGAAAACCAATCCAGCTACTTTATCATAAGGAACTGGATAGTATCATCGGCTTTCATATACAATAACCGTAGTTCACAGCATGGGACTTAAGAAATCTGTTCCAAGCTTTAATTTAAAAAAATAATGTAGTCCATTAGTTGACAAATGAGCATTTTAATCAGTTAGTCATGTGGCCTCCTGATTACCAGAAATAATTTATTATTATTATTTCCTTTAATTCCAAGAGGAACATAGGGCTTCAGCTAAGCGTCTCCATTGCGTTCGGTTCTCTGCCAACGTCTTCACCTGGCTCCAAGTTTGCCCACATGCTTGTCATTTCCTCTTCATATGACCTCCTCCAAGTCACCCTCACTCTGACGACCAACTCGCCGCTTTCCTTTCGGGTTCCACTCGAGTAATGGCTTGTCTAGTGATGTCACTTGATGGTTTCCTCAGAGTATGGCCAGCCAATCCACCTCCACTTCTTCCTGCTTATTTGTTTCACAATCGGTTCCTGGTTGGTTTGCTCCCGGAGATCCCTGTTTCTGACCTTTTCTGGCCGGCCATCTGACCTTGAGTATTAAGCGAAGACAGCTGTGGATGAAGATCTGTAGTTTGTTTAAGGTGCTCTTTATGACCCGCCAAGTCTCTGATCCGTATAGCAAGTAGCACTGACTTTACATTGGAGTTGAAAATCCGGTTCTTATTTTTGATGCTGAGTGCTGTTGACCTCCACACAGACTTGAGAGTAGTGAAAGCTTGCTTCGCTTTCCCGAACTGTGCTTTGATATCTTCATCAGTTCCGTCTGTAGTTGAAACGATGCTTCCCAGGTAAGTAAAGGACCTTATTTCTTTTAGGGTCCTCCAATTTATGCTGATTGTTGTTGTTGCTGTTGGTGTTTCCCAGGAATCTTCATCACCTCTGTTTTCTCTATGTTCACCTGAAGTGAAGTCCTATCTTTGATGCTTCTTCTTCCAACTTGTTACTTTTCACTTGCATATCTTCCAGTTTGTGGCAAAACATACATATATACTAGAAATAATACCTGACTGATTTACAAAGTTCCCACCAAAATGGAAACTACCACTGAAATTCAATAGGAAACGACCCCACTTTCAGCATAATATTGGCAGTGAAAATCTTCTCGGTTAGGGAAAAATCCTTACAATTGAAGTGCGTCGGTGGCACAGTGGTTAGGACTCTCGACGACCATGCACATGGTCCGGGGTTCGAGCCCTCGCCGACGCACACCTGATATCTATGGTCGGCCTGCGAATTTTGGGCTACCGATATCCACGCTGAAAATTCCATACTTGTACCAAAAATACGGTGTGGAATCAAGCTGTTATCAAAAATAAAATAAAAAAAATAAATGTTAGGTTTCGTCGTTAAACAGTGAAACTCTAGATTCTATTTTCCTACAATCTTTCTGATGATATCAGATAGTTGAAGGCAATCGGCAGGAAGTCTTGGCTGTACCTAGGTTTCGTGCTAGTTGCCACTCACCAGTCCGTCAGAAAGGCGTTTCTGCAACCTTGAAGGAACTCATGTCCCTTCAGAGATTCGAAACCGCGTCACCCAGTTAGAGCTGCAGTCAGAGACATTACCACTGAGCTATTCGGGCTCGCGATTAACCCCCTGTAGGACTGCAGTGGATATTTTGATTGAACATCAGTAACTAGTGTGATGTGTCTGGTCCTTTCTTTGGTGCAGACTGAATTCTATCAGTCACATTTTGCAATGTGGCCGCCATTCTAGGTAGCTTGCCATCACGGTGCACATTAATTTAATATTAGATAGTTGGAGAAGAGCCCGAATAGCTCAGTGGTAACGTCTCTGACTGCAGCCCTCACTGGGTGACGGGGATTCGAATCTCAGAAGGCACATGAGTTCCTTCGAGGTTGCAGATACGCCTTGCTGACTAGTGAGTAGCAACTAGCATGATACCTAGGTACAGCTAAGGCTTCCTGCCAACTGCTTCCAACTATCTAATATCACCAAATCAATGTGCATCGTGATGGCGAGCTACCTAGAATGGTGGCCACATTGCAAAATGTGACTGATAGAATTCAGTCTGCACCAAAGAAATCACTAGACACGTCATACTGGTTACTAGCTAGTGTCCACTTAAAATACAATCTTTCTGTCTAGATTCGATTACCGGAGGACACACTCCTATACCTTACCTGACTGGTAGAACACATAAGAAAGAAGGAAGGCCAGGTGTGTAGCTAGCAAACCCACCTCTTAAAAATGACACTACCGTTAATGAAATGTCAAAAGACTTGAAGCCACCATATTTCACTGCAAAATGCAAAGCAACGTGAGAGAAAATCTGTTTCATTTTCAAGTATTGCTTCTGTAGGGATTTCGTGTGTTGATTGGATGGAGGATTTCATTATGAGCTGACATGAGTTAGGGAACCACTGGAAAATCTGAGAGTACTGGACAGCTCTTCTGTCCTAGTTAAGGGCTCTTCAGTTGGCTTTGTAACCAGAAGGTCTTGGGTTCGAAACCTGGCGGTGGGTGCGTACTGACAAAGAGTCCCAATCTAGTCTGACGAAACAGCTGTCCAGTACTCCCTGCAGGTTTTCCAGTAGTTCTCTAACTGACTTCAGCTCATGATGAAATCCTCCATCCAATGCAATCTGTTTGAATCAAACTGCGCGTCCAAAGAAACTTGAATGTATAACAGGTTAATTTAAAACCATGTGTTATGCAGCCGATTGCTGGTTGTTATTCAACAATATTCACGCTACCTTGAAGATCATAAATAACCATATCATGAAGACTTGTCATTTCGGTTGTCCATCAGACACGTCTGCTTAGAGTGTTTATATTTACCCGGGGTTCCGACTTGGTTAATCTATGGACTAATCCTGAACGGTAATGTTTATCTCTGGTTCTATTCAATCTTTTCAGTTTAGATTGCAAAATTCGAGAATACTTCAGCCTAAATATATAGAGAATGAATTTATTTTACGGCCTGCTTACTTAGAACCTGGGCTACCAAAAACCCCATCAATATATTGAGCATAAATTTCTCTTACTCAGTTTGTTTAAACCTAGTAAAATATTAAAAGTCAATCTGGACGAAGAATATTCTTTTCAATAATTTCTCCTCTTCAGGTCCTTACAATTATACAATATAATATTTGTTGACGTTACAATAAAGGCTAGTTATGCGGCGGATAAATTTTTAACGTAGAATAACATATTTGAACGTCTGTGTCTATCCTTCAGTAGCCATCCAATGTTCACCCAGCAACTCAGAGAAGTCTTACCTAACCTTAGCTCTTCTTCATGCATATACCATTTCAACTGTTCCTGTGGTTAAAGTTATATAGGGAGCACGATTAGGCAGGTTCGTCTACGGGTTCGAGAACATTTATCAGCTTGGTTCAGCGCCGGGGAGGGGGGGGGAATTAAGTACATAAAAAGCTCGATTCTGTCATTCTTGGTCGATACCGGACATCGTATCGACGTCAACACAGCTTTCAGGGTTATATACCGAATTCTGAAGTCGTTATCACGTACTTACTTACTTTACTTCGGCTATCTCCTACGGGAGGATGAGCCGGCTTCATGAACGTCTCGAATCATCGCTGCCCAGGCGCGGCGATCTGATGCAAGGTTTTGTGACAGGGATATCCAATTCTTGTTCCACATACGGAGTCCGTAGACGGTTTGTAGCCCCAGGCACTCCATATCAGCCTTGACTGTACCAAGCCATGTCTTCAGCTGTCCACCCCTGCGACATCGCCAAGATGGTAATGGCGAGGGATTTAGAACTGATTTGACCAGATCGTCATCTGGTCGGCGCAGAACATGGCCAAACCACCGAAGGCGGCGTTGTTGGACCAGTACTGGAATTTGGTTGATGTTGTAGCAACGACGACGCACTTCTTCGTTGGAGAGTTTGTCCTGCCAACGAACATGCAGAATGTACCTGAGGCACCAATGGTCTACTACCTCGAGTCTGCGTAAATCTTCCGCGCGAAGAGGCCAGGTTTCACAGCCATACAGGAGAACGGGTCGTATGGAAGCTTGGTAGACCCGAATTTTAGTCCTGAGACTGATTTCTCTCTTGCTCCATAGAACGCTCCTCAGCTGTAGAAACGCATTCCGGGCGTTGGAGATTCGCGCATTCACTTCGTTTTTCGCTTGGCCGTTGGGGAGCATTATGGATCCCAGATATCTGAAGGATGGCACAATTTCAATAGGTGCTCCATTTAGGGATAAGATTTCATCATTGCTGGTGGATGTGTTCGAAAACATTTTGGTTTTGGAAGTGTTAATTTTCAAACCGATAGTAGGCGCGAGGTGGTTTATCTGGTCGAGCGCCTGTTGCATATCGGGGAAGTTTTCAGCTAATAGCACGACGTCGTCGGCGAATTCGAGGTCGGTTATGTGAATATCGGGCGAAAGTTGGACGCCGTGGTGCTCGGTTAGGGCGTGCCGCAAAATCCAATCAATTGTGAAATTGAACAGGATGGGGGATGCTGGACAACCTTGCCGGACACCGCTGGTTACCTCAAAAGTGCGAGACTCTTCACCGTTCACTCGGACTCGAGCTTTGGTGTTGGAGTAGTATGACCTGAGCAGGTTGATTAGCTTGGTCGGAACTCCGTCGAGCTCCATTAGATACCAGAGTGCTCCTCGATCAACTGAGTCGAATGCCGCTTGGAAGTCGATGAAGCAAGCAACCGTCGGCTGTTGGAATTTGTCCCTGTGTTCCAAAATTCTTCGCAGTGTGAATAATTGATCAACACAGCCTCTTCCAGGTCGAAATCCGGCTTGATTTGGCCTTGTTCGCACGTGGCGTTCGGCCGCGAAGCGGTTCAGGAGAATGGAAACAAAAACCTTAGCAGCGATATCAATCAGACTTATGCCTCGGTAGTTCTCGCATATTGACCTGTCTCCCTTTTTGTGGAACGGTAGCAGAACTGAGGTGCTCCAATCGGAAGGAATGGTTTCGGACTCCCAAATTGAGCAGAACAGCGAGTGCAGTGCATCGATTAGCGCTGGAGTGCAGGCCTTGTATATTTCTGGAGGTAGACCATCTTCGCCCGGAGCTTTTTTGTTTCTGAGTCTGTTAATTGTTTTAGCTATTTCGGTTGGAGTGGGTGGATCGCAGTCAACTACGTAGGGTGTTGGTAAGTGTCGTATCGGTCGATGAGACGGTTGACCAGCGTTGCGATTGAGTAGCTGCTTGAAATGTTCGGCCCATCGTTCCATCTTACCATTGGTGTCCGAAATAATTTCTCCTGATGCTGTGCGTAACACAGCATGACTGTTAAGGCGTTTGCCAGATGATTGGCGTATGAGGCGATAAAGTTTTCCGAAATCGCCTACATTTGATGCTGCTTCCATGTTAGTCGCCACGTTAGACCAATAGCGATTTCTGTCATTCCTAGCAGACTGTGTAGCTTTGCGCCTGAGGGAGCGATAAACTGGAGACTTTGCTAGGCGAGCGTCTCTGGCTTGCGAGGATAGAAGCATGGTGTGCTCTGAAATCCAGTCTTTCTGCTTCTTGGATGTGGTACCCAAATGCGACATTGAAGCTTTAGAGACTACTTCTTTGAAATGATTCCATCGTGTCTCGGGTGTATTAGAAGATGTGGATGTTGGTTCATCTGCGGCGCTTAGTTCGGCCTGGATTTGTTTGGACAAGGCTTGTCGCTTTGTCGAACATTGAAGCGGGGCAACATTGATACGCTTCGGAGGTCGCGCCTTCTGGCGTGTTGTTAAACGAAGTTTGAATTTCGCCCTAACTAGAGTATGGTCTGATCCCCCTTTATTTCCGGCCTCTGCTCCACGATAGGATCGACAGTCTTCCACCGAGGAGATCCAGCGTGAGCGCACTAGGATGTAGTCGATCTGATGTGCAGTGCGACCGTCGTTCGAATACCAGGTGAGAAGATGTTTTCTAGGGTGTTGAAATCGAGTGTTGGTGATATATAATCGATTGTAATCAGAAAAAGCTAAAAGTCTATCACCATTACGGCAGCGCTGATCGAGACCGTGTTTGCCTAGTATATGTTTTGTCGCGTCGTCTGAAGGGCCAGTGCGGGCGTTCCAATCGCCGGCTACTATGAGAACGTCACGCTTTGGGATTTTGTTGATTGCCTCTTGAAGATTGTCATAAAATTCGTCTTTGATACTTTCATCAGAGTCGAGGGTTGGGGCATAGACAGCGAGAACAGAAATGTCGAGCGGGGAACCCTTGAACCTAGCGACTGCAACTCTGGAGTTGACCGGTTCGAATGATATTAGGGCATTATTGGCTTTGTTACTGAGAGCAAATGCTACCCCATGTTGTCCCGAATTATTCTGGGGTCCACTATGAAGCAACCAGAATGAAGAATCTGTTCCAGGTACGGCTATTCGGCGGGAGCCATGATCGGGTAACCTCACTTCAGATAGACACGCTATGTCCACCTTGTAGTCGTATAAAGAACGCATGGTGATAGACTGGCTACCAGGATCCAACAGCGTCCTAACATTCCAGCAGCCAACAAATAGTTGGTTTCTAAGTGTTAATTTCCCAGCTGGCTTACTTTTCACACTGGCCACCGGGTGAGCACAGGGCGCGTCGCTTACCGGGAACGCCGTAGCATGGTGAGAGTTGTTTGTAAGAGAGTTCATGAAGTTTCATGGGAATTTGGTACGAGTGATGTCCCCAGCATCGCTCGGCCTTTTGTTTGAGAGTGCAGCTCTAGCCTTTACACAGCCAAGTGTGACCTACAAGGCAGTAGGAGTGGAGTAAGGAGTCCACTATCCATTGGCAGCCGGTGACCGGAGTTCGGTTCATACGCCTTTTTGAATGGGGCCAGACATCCAGGACATCCAACAAGCCCTTTGTCCATACGTCTGCCGGTGAGCTCCGGTGAGCTTCATACGCCAGTCGTTGGAGGTTTGGAATCAGGGTTTAGCCATCTCCCCTAGACTGTCATCCAATGGACAGTCAACCCGGTGAAGAGCGCCGGGCATCCGCTCACGTACAGTTCGCTTACGTCTCCTACATACATATCTGAAGCTGTTGCAATAAGGTCAACTAAACCGGAAATTTGTATCCAAAATGAACACACCCAGACGCTGTTCCTACCGTGGCCAAAAGTGCTTCTTCCCTTAACCTTCTTGGGTTTTTTCCTTTGCTTATTATTACTAATATTATTATTACAGTTATTATTATTATTCGTCATGATTTATGCCCTTTATGCAAACATTCCCTCAATACTATCTAATTTTTCATTTATATTATACGGACTTATTATTAGTGATGATATTATCTCTTTTCTCAATATATGCATCCCTCCACCTGTTTCATTTCACACATTCCTTATTTCATTTCATTGCAGTCTTACTATCTCCTCTTTAGTACAGACCACTTTGTACTAGCCACTCACTCACCTGACATCTTTTATAACCTTGAATTGACTTGTCAATTTTCCTACCCCACACTCTACAAATCTATTTTGATTAATCACCACCATTGTCTCCCATTTTACAATATTCTGTAATCGATTTCAGACCAAAGCACGTTTGTCACACAAATACGACTATTTATTTTGACACCTCATAACTAATCTGTTATTCTACGTAAAAAATGTATCCGTCGCATAACTGGCCTTTATTGTAACGAAAACAATAATATTATTTTTTATAATTGTAAGAACCTGAATAGGAGAAATTATTGAAAAGAATATTCTTCGTTCAGATTGACTTTTAATTCATTATGATACGGGAATATTTCACACTATCAAATCATATCAATCTGTCTCCAAACCTGAAATGAATCACTACTCATCAGTAATAATACTCAGGCGATCAAGGAAATTGGAATGGTCAGTTCGCACAACGTTAAGTTAGGGGTCCCGATGAAGGTGTGAAAGCCTGGCTCAGGAAGGCAAAGAACACCATCACTATGAAATCAGTCAGCAAATCTACATTCTGCATAAAAAGACAAACCTCGGATCTTCAACAGCATGTTCAAGTTAATTTTGCATGGATGAGAAACTTGGTGCGTGTGTCACCAAAAGTACCTCCAACAGGCTACTGTAGCTCAGATACAACCACTCCTTGTGACTTATAATTTCCAAGGAAACTATATTATTCTTCGTTATTACAATTCTTTTGTCTCACACCTCTGTTTACTGTCTCTATTGTGCTTTTCTTCTACTTTCTTCTCTTGATTTGTGTGCTACATGGAGGGAGTGTGGCGACTCGAACTGTCGCACATCGGTCCAAAGTTCTATGTCAAAGACAGACAGGCATCCATGAACGCCTAACTCGTTGCTTTTGATTCCAATCTCACTCGATCGCCTGATGTTTGATGTGGTGTCAACCGACATTTCAACCGGAAATACATCCAATCCATCTCTCCATTTCATTTTGCTAGAGTAGATGGATTCCCAATACTGTTACTAGCAACAAGATATAAACGGACAATTAATGTGCTTACAGGTGACCACCGGGATGACCGGAGGAGAATATCCCCCCCCCCGCCGCCAAGTAACAATTTGGGGAGTATACTTCGATTCTATCACATGCTCTAACAGATTCCTAAACACCAGCAGGCTCAACCAAGTCTGGTAAGAGAACAGCTACTCACTCACCGATGACACCGACTGACGGTTACCCTATGTATATCACAAAATGGCTGAATTTGGGTATCATGGTCCGTCAGATAGGGTCCCTGTGACGGAATGGTCTACGAGCTCTCCTTGTCTCCGGGAGGTCCCGGGTTTGAAACCCATGGGGTACGTACTGAAGAGGGGTCCCAAACTGGGACGAAATAGCTACCCAGTACCCTCAGATTTCCCAATGCTTCTCTAACTGATGTAAAACTCGAGATTGTATCGGTAATCTTCTGATTTCTTCAAGAACATATGCAGTTTAGAATACAATATATAGAAATCTGCAGCACGTCAGTGGAGTTGGATTCTGGATGATATCAGCATACCATAAAAGTAGATGATTCTGTGAATTACGTTAATATAGTTAATGATAAACCGAAACTAAAAAATAAAACGATTCATATGTTTTAACGGTAGTAACCTACTTAGGACATGTTGTCTTACGCCAGGATTCATTATGCTTCAACGGTTCATCACCTCGTTTTAAAGCGTTGTCAAGTGGTGGAAGAACAACAGGCAATTGATCTTCAGGCACTGGGACTGGCTGTAAAAGTTAGACAAAAGACAGAGGAAATGAGACAAGCGTAAAAAAATGATAAGAACAATATAGGAATTAAAACTGGTTCAACATACAACTATGCACAGAAGTGCAGCAGTTCGAGTTGCATAACTACACTACACTACTAGACTATTATTTTTTCTCTCTTCATGACCATTTATAATGTCAAGAGGTGATTCTCGTGGGACAAGTGGTTCAGTGGCTGACACCCTGGCATTTGAAACGATGAGCCACGGGTTCCAGCCACAGTGAGAACACAGCCACTCACTCACTCACTCGCTGCGGAATACAGGTACATCCACTAGCTGACGACCTCCAAATAGGGCGAAACGCGCATCTTGCTGGATCCGACTGCTAGTCACTAACCACCGGCAAGTTTATATTCGTTTTACTTTTCATTCCTTAACGTTCCAAGTGGAACATAAGGGGCTTCAAGCTAGAGCTATGAAGATTCCGTAGCACTGGCATGCATTCTTACGGGATGGGGTTTGCTGGCCACACACGCCCAACCTTCCCTCCTTACCAGTCTTGTTATTGGCTTAGAGAGGTAAAGGAGTGCATCGGCCGGTGGTCGAACCCTGAGCCATCTGCGTGATTAGCGAGCATTCTAACGTTGTGCTACCGACGTGTATATATTCACCAGTTTATTATTATTATTGCTCCCTTGGGTTCCTAGTGGAACATAGGGCTTCAACTGCACGTCTCCATTTTCTTCTGTCTTCTGCTATACTTTTCGCCTGCATCCATGTTAATCCATCTTCTTTCAACTCCTCTTCACACGATCTCCTCCATATCACCCTTGGACGTCCCACACGCCGCTTCCCTTTCGGGTTCCACTCGAGGGCTTGGCGCGCGATGTCACCCAGAGGTCTCCTCAGCGAGTGTCCGATCCATCTCCACTTTCTCCTGCATATTTGTTGGGCGATTGGTTCTTCCTTTGTTTGTTCCCATAATTCCTTGTTGGTGATTCATTCCGGCCATCTGATCTTCAGTATTGAGCGAAGACAGTTGTTAATAAAGGTCTGCAGCCTTTTGGAAATATACTTTGTGACCCGCCAAGTTTCTGATCCGTATAGAAGAACTGACTTTACGTTTGTATTGAAAATCCGAATTTTGTTGTTGCTACTGCATGACGAAGATTCCCAGATTGGTTTCAGGTTGATGAATGTGTGTGTTTCTCGCCTTCCCGATTCTCGCTCGATTTGACATCCTCGTCCGTTCCGACTGGCTGTAGTTGAGACAATGCTCCCTAGATAAGTGAATGAAGTAACCTCTTTCAGTTTACTTGAAGCTAAATAATCAGACATCGTTGATACATTTGCACAGGGAGCCAAGATGTCAACCTGTTCTTTCCCATGACTTAATTTTAAAGCTGCACAGTCGTATTTATATCACTCCCCATAGCACATAATTTTAATTAACTTTATTCAATATCACATGTGTATATTAACTGAGCAATTTTTAGTGCCATTTAATGCGTTTTTTCCGTAATACAAATACGATTGTACAGCTTGAAAATGAAGTCACTGTGAATGGAGAAATATTTCTTCGTTGAACCAAACGGTGTGTTTTTCTAATGAATCAAATCCTTAAATTCCTCCAGTTCACAGTGATATTTAAACACACAAGTGTGACATATCTCTCCAGCCATTAAAACACACATTCTAAATATCATTAGGCTACTGAAACTTTAACGTTGCAAGACGAAAGACTCGGTAAAGGAATGTTTATTACTATTGACAATTTGGTATCTCCATATAGCCAAATTATGTACACATCATATTCAACGCATCATCTGCACAGATCTTCCATTTTGTGTTACTTCTGGCCTTCATTTATGCTGCATACAGGTTATGTAAATGATACTCTCATTATTGGTAATAACAGTAAATCTATTGAAAACTTTATCACCCTATATAATCATATTCATCCTAATATTCGAGTAACTTCCGAACTAGAATTGAATAACAAACTCGGTTTCCTGGATATTACTATGACTAGGAGAGATGATGGAACGATTCAGTGCTCCATTTTTCATAAACAGATATGCAGTGGACAATATCTTCATTTTACCAGTTTTATTCCAATCCAGTATAAACGTTACCTAGTGAAATGTTTGTTCTCAAGGGCCCGAAAAATATGCACGAGTGACACACTGATGGATGAGCTTCGACATGTACATTCAGTTTTATTAGCTAATGGTTATCCGGAAAACTTTATCACTTGTCACAGTAAAGGAAGATTACATCTCGAAAAAACAGTTTCTGTACCAAAAAAAGCTATCTTTATTAAGCTACCATTCAAGAGCGACCAGATTATGCAGTTGACAGTTAGCTCAAAGACTTCGGTCAGCCATCAAACGCACATTCTACGCCGCCGCATCTCTTTTTCTCACATGCCGAACATTTTCGATCCCTGTACCTACGATTAAAGGACGAAATTCTATGGACTCTACTTCAAACTATCTACAAGTTCACCTGCAGCTGCGGTGACACCTATATAGGTAGAACCAACAGAATGTTCCAATGTCGTCGAAAAGAACATCTTCCAAAATGGCTACCAAATCATATAGAAAATCTCAATGCGATTAATCTGAATAGAAATCCATCATCATCCATTGTCTGTCTGTCTGGATTCAACATAGAACTTGGCACCGAAGTGCAGCAGTTCGAGTTGCCACGTTCCAAATAGCACACAGAGGTAGACAAGAAGATGAGTGAAGAGAATTAATAGAGTTTGACAAATATAAGAGTGAAACAGAATGGGTAATGGTAGAAAGGAATATGAAAGATTACAGAGATTGAATACATCTGCGCCATTGACAACGATTTTGAGCCATGTCACCTATTGTCTCCAGCCATTGATTCCTAGAGTCCCGAGGGCCCCAACCCGGGAGTCTGCATCTCCCTACCTGACTCAGTTTAACTGTCAAGGATTTCATGGATTGATGAGGCCATGTTTTTGTTCGGCCACCACTGGCTCTTTTCCAACCTGAACCTATATCAGCTAACAATGCCCGTCGGGGGAGGCGGTGGTTAGGCATGCGCACCACGTGACCTAGCCATCTTAGTCTATGTAACTTTATAACCTCGTCGATTGATTTTCCCTGTTTGCCCAACACTCTACGCCTAACGTCAACATTACTTATCTTGTGAAACCACCTAACGTGAGACAGAGATCGCAGACATCTATGATCGAAAGCAGTCAACCTTTTCATGTCTTCAACGCGTATTGGCCATGTTTCAGAGCCATAGAGAAGGACGGAGCGAACTGATGAGCAGTACACACGTCCCTTGGTTGATAACCGGATGTCACGCCTACGCCAGAGATGGTGTAAGTCAGCGAAAGCAGCTCGAGCTCTTTGGATCCGTGCTGAGATTTCATCGCCAATCAGTCCGTTGGTGCTAATACAACTTCCCAAGTAGGTGAAGTGGTCAACATGTTCTATCACTTCACTCCCTATCACTAAGTTAGGGGTTGACGTAGTCCAGTCCTGTAGCAGCATCTTACATTTTGCAGGGGAGAATCGCATGCCAAACATACGAAGATTGCTGCTCAAGGTGTTCAGAAGACTCTGCATTTTGTCAGAATCCTCCCCTAACAGGACTATGTCATCTGCATATTCTAAGTCCATTAGATTATTCCCTGGTAACAAGTCGATTCCTAAGTCACTACGTTCAGTTAAGGATACTTCCATTAGCATATCTATGATGAAGTTAAACAGTTAATCCATTGCAAAACACTTATTAATGTCAGGTCACAAAATCAATATTAATGACTGTTTCACAATTATTTCACATAACTCTAATTAAAGGTTGGTTATTGAAGGTGATGGAAGCACTGCGGATTAATCAGTCACATACAGCCTAAACTGTGTGTACAAAAATCAATAGACTTCAATCTTCGCCTACCATGGACTACATGACCTATTTAAATATGATTGGTCATTAGTATGTACTTTTGGTTTTTTTATTTAACTGAGTAATTGTCATGAACTTTATTTTATCATTGTTAACCATGTAAAGCGGTTGTAAAGAAACTACGAGATGATATCATCTCGTGAAGTTTGTCTTTTCAATGCCTTATTCATATTTGTGTTCCTTTCATGTCCTCCCATGTATCTCCACAACGTTGTATCATTTGCTTTCTCGGACATCAAATCTATGTGTGTGCTATTTGATGCTTTTATGCCGATGGACATCTCTTTTACACACATATTTATACTACTGATATATTTTACCAGTAGCATACTCCATAAAACCAAACAAATACAAGTAAGGGACACGCATATAAACTCACCCCACAGGTATCACAGTGTATAATCGGTATAGGAGTACCCCAATAACGTTGTCTAGATACCAGCCAATCAGTACGGTCATCACTACACCAGTAACCACCACGCCCAATAATCTTCAAACATAGCAAATTAAAATGGTATTAACAAAATATAGGGGTAACCGGAAAGTGATACCTTCAAATTACTTGAAACGAAATATTACAGCAAAAACAAGGAATAAAAACTACATACTACTGATTGGTCGATTGTTAAGGATGAGTAGTTAGTTATATACCCTTCACATCAACCAGTAACGCTTGCTAGCCATATTGAAAGGGTCTAAACACCGGACGGCAGTTTCTCTGGTTCGGGAGTGAGCTCATCTAACGGCATACCCAGTTCGATTCATCTCATGGCGCGGAATAATTTCTCTTTCCAATGATAACCGTGATGAAATCTCCTCTTGAATCGTGTATATTGTGATTTAATTAGCATATTGAGAATTCGATTCATAGATAAACCTGATTAATGTGCCTATGAAGGCGTTGACTATGGACAACTGTATTTTGATTGGGCACTAGTAACTAGTGCGATGTGTCTAGTCCTATCTTCGCTGCAGACTGAATTCTGTCAGTCAGGTTTGTAATGTGGCCACTATTATAGTTAGCTCGCCATCACGGTGCACATTCATTTGATGATATTAGATGGTTGGAGGCAATCGGTCACAGGAAGCCTTGGACCTAGGTTTCGTGCTGGTTGGCACTCATCAGCAAGGAGTATCTGCAACCTTAAAGGAACTTATGTCCCTTCTGAGATTTGAACCCGCGTCACCCAGTGCTGCAGTCAGCGACGTCCACTACAGTCCTACAGGAGGTCAATCGCGAGCTCAAATAGCTCAGTGGTAACGTCTCTGACTACAGCACTGGGTGACGCGGGTTCAAATCTCAGAAGGGGCATAAGTTCCTTCAAGGTTGCAGATACTCCTTGCTGATGAGTGCCAACCAGCACGAAACCTAGATCCAAGGCTTCCTGTGACCGATTGCCTCCAACCGTCTAATATGGACAACAGTCTCATGGCACATAGCGTGACACACACACACACAACTTCCGGGGTCCGTTCAGATTTAACAGTATCACGCATTAAACCAGCAGTCTAGATTGATTGCTATCAGTCAAGTTTGAAATGTGACCACCACCAAGCCATGCGCAATTCGTTATTGCGGTGCAATCTGAGAAATTTTTTTAGATGGCCGGAAGCAATCGCCAGAGAAAATACATTTTGTCCTGATTGAATCAAATATTTGTTGATACCCATTGCACAAGACATCACTCTCGTGGTCCAAGTGGTCTAGTGAATAACTAACTCTTTGGCGTTTCAAACTAAGAGTGCTCGGGGTTTGAGCTTCAGTAGGAACGACATCACTCACTAGGGAATACAGGTACATCCAATAGCTGATGAGTCCCAAATATCACAGAATGCGTATACTGGTGGATGCCGCTGCTTGTCATCATTCACCAATCCAATACAAGTTTCGTGGCTAATGGAACTCATCACAAAGGTGTATCTCTCCAACATTAAAGGGAATAATTCTCTCTTGTAGATACACACACCAGTCTTACTTAGTCCTGCAGTTAGGGATGTTACTACTTAGTATAAATAACCTCTCCTACCATCTAGCATAAATTCGATTCTGAAGCGATGACAGCTATTCGGTTTCCTACATTTATTTCCCTTACTGAATTTGAACAAAGCAAGAACTACAGTTTTAGCAGTTTTTCACTCCCTTCTCATTAGATGCTTACAGGGCAAAGACATTATTAAATATATCTACAAAAACAATTTTAACATACTTGCACAGAGTTCATTTTAACAAAAATCAACCGATCAATATATGCATACAGTAATATATATATATATATATATATATATATATAATACTAAACACTATTCCGAACAACAATCATACACAATAGAAACTTTTCAGCAGTACGCATTCAGATGAAAGAGTGATGAAAAATATCTAGTTACCAGGGCAAACAAAGGCTGATAACCGCCTCTTTCTCGACGCATAAATCAGGTTTCAGGCGCTTGGTGGAAATGGCTTCAGCAAACTTGAGGAGAATTGAGCTCTTTTGTCTATTGATAATTTTGAACGACTTTTCGACATCCACCCCATGAACCACGTCGCGGAGATGCCTGGTGATGGCACTGTTTAAAGCATTTGTTCCCTTTAGACGTAAGCTTTTCGGTACATGTTCAGAAAATTGTAGATATGCCCTTCTTTCTGTCTTTCCAATGTAACTGCTCCCGCAGATACACATAAATTCGTATATACAGTTGGAGTTAACATGAGAAGGATATCTATCGATTTTTGATTGTACCAAAGAGCAAGTTGTTCGATAGACGGGGATGAGCTTAGCTGCAGGATAGGCTCTGGCTACTGACGTACTCAGCCTTCTGTCGACCATCGCTGCAATGTTTTCACCTTTATAATCAAGCTGAATGTAGATTGGCTTTTTACCCACTGTGATTTGTTTCACATATGTGACTTCAGATCTTCCATACTTATTGATGAACCTTTGAGGGTACCCATTGCTCTTCAATATCTTTTCAAGGAACTCAAATTCTTCCTCTAATTTCTCTATAGAGCATATTCTCCTCGCTCTGTAGTACAGAGTCTTGACTATTTCGCGTTTAAAGCTATTTGGAAAAAAAAGCTATTAAAATGTAAGTATTGTCCTTTTCCATGTAGGCTTTTAATAAATTGACTTTTGAAGACTACCGTCTTCTACGCGTTGCATGGCAATGTCGAGGAAATGAAAATTTCCGTCAATTTCATGTTCCATAGTGAACTCAATATTGGTGTGTGCATCATTGAATAATCTGATTAAGTGTGAAGCATGACTTTCATTGTTGCACACTATAAATGTGTCATCAAAATATCGACTGTAGGAAATTGTTTCGTCGTCGATTGCATGCTTCAACTTTGTTCTTTCAATGTTGGACATGAATATATCTGTTAAAACAGGGCTAAGTGGACTATCTGTGATCAGAAAGAAGCGGTTATCAGTCTTTCTTCGCCCTGTCTGGTAACTGGATATTTTTCATCCCTCTTTCTTTTGAATGTGAAATGCTGGAAAGTTTCTATTGTGTATGATTATTTTTGTTCGAAAGTGTTTAATAATAATAATGTATATATATATATATATATATATATATATATATATATATATATATAATTACAGTATGCAAATATTTGGTTTCCGTCACGAATGCCAACCGTCCTCATCATTTCTGTTCAATTTCATCATTGATGTACTAATAGACTTAAACCTAACTTACTTCAGCTACTTAGGGATCGACTTGTTACCAGGGTACAATAGTCTCGTTGACTTAGAACATGCGGATGATACAGTCCTGCCTCCTGGGTCAAAACGATAACAAACTGCAGTCTTCTCAACGGCTTGTGAAGCAGCACTCTTCGAATGTACGGCAAGCGATACACTATTGTCAAATACAAGTAAGATGATACTACAGGGGTGAACCACATCGACTCATTCCTAGTGAAGTGGCAGAGCGTACTGACCACTTAATTCACTTATTTAGGAGGTTGCATCAACCAACACCGGAGGGTTGACCGCTGACGAAATCTCATCACGGATACAGAAGGCTAGTTTAGCATTTGCCAACAATTTACGCCATCTCTTACTTGCTTAGTAGACCTATTATCCGATATGCTGTTGACTTAAAGACATGAATGCTGCTCACCACTTCGTTCCATCTTCCTTTATCGCTGTAAGAGTTAGACATGCCCATCGAAAAAAGAAATAAATGAATATAAAGGCCGCTTAAGTGTCTTTAAACATAGGTGGCTGCATTCTGTCTCTCGTGTTAGCTGGTAAGTATAATAGGGTGAGTAATATTGAGCTGTGATTAGGCGTCGAGTGGTAGGTAAGGAGAGGAAATATCAATCGATGAGACTGTTAAGCAGCTGAAACGACTGTAAAGGTTAGGACATGTGTTATGCATGCATGACTATCCATCGATCGACTTCCTCAAATGGTCAATGTTAGCTGACATAACACCAGGTTGACAAAGACCTATTGGTGTGGTCAAACCAAAGCATGCAATCAGCCAACAAAATGTTTAACAGTCAGTCTGAGCCAACCACGTAAGGAGGCGTTAACCACTGAGCCACTGGGTCATGAAAATCACCTCTTGTTGAAATGATTATTTCAGTTTTTCCATTTATTTATTTTATTGTTTACAAAGTGCAAAAGAGAACAGTAAATTGGTAATCTCTAATAACTTTGTGGGGCTGTTATAGTTCGACGGTCTAAGCGCTCAACTTCCAACTGATGAGCTACGAGTTCGAATCCTGCTCCACCTATCAATGTCTGAGCAGCCAAGTAGTATCATTCCTCTTCACACACACACACACATACACACACATAAAACAAGTGTAGCTCAAGTGTGCCAACTGTATGGAGTCCCAAGTGGCGGTTGTCGAGTAAACAGCTCGTTTTTTCATCTTCCTACCTACTTCAGGAGTATTTTGTGAGTACGCTTCAATAAAAAAAGGCTAAACTGTTGAAAAGAAAAAAAAAGGAGGAAATATTCCAGATGAACTCACCTTTAACATTTGCATAGCTTTATTCGTTGACTCACCAACTGTCTTGCCATGAAGCTATTCAAGAGAGAAAGAAAACCACACACACACACACAACCTTCCATAAACAATGGGCTTAGAGACAAGATTGCATAGGGATTAGAAAATAGTTAAAACGTATGCAAAATTAATATTTTGATAACTGGAGAAATAATTTTAAAGTCGAATAAAAGGTGATAATTATTTTCAACTTGATATGAATTCAAAGAAGCTTAGAAACGAAAGTTGTGCAGGGATAGAACGAATTACAGGTGTGAACAAACAAAATGAGTATGGAAACAAGTTGAAATCGAAATTTTTAACTTGAAATGTTAGTTAGGAGGTGTAAATATTGATAGATTACAAGAGACATAGAAACACAAAAATTGCACAGGATTAAGATATAATTTTACGAGTTGATCACGGATTGATATCAGTTAGAGAACCACTGAAAACCAGGGAGTACTGGACAGCTGCTGTTTCATCCTAGTTTGGGAATCATCGGCAGTACGCCGATATCAACTGATATCAATCCGTGATCAACTCGTAAAACATAACTAATCCTTACAAACCAAAAACTATAGAAAGTTAATCTGATGCTCGCTAGTGACTTGCTACAGGTTGGAGTTTCCTGAGTTCTAGTGAGAAGTCGTGACCAGTGAGGTCCAACTAGATGTCACGTGTGTGGATGGATGTCCCACCAACGACAATGGTTGGGGTCACGCTAAATCACGAATTGGTAGAAGTTAGAATTCACGAGCCATTGAATCGGGTCCCAGTGGCTGAATGGTATACGAGGTTGCGTTGTAACCGGAAGGTCATGGGTTCGAAACCCAGTGGGTGCGTACTGCCGATGATTCCCAGACTAGGATGAAACAGCAGCTGTCCAGTACTCCCTGGTTTTCAATGGTTCTCTAACTGATATCAATCCGTGATCAACTCGTAAAACATAACTAATCCTTACAAACCAAAAACTATAGTAAGATATAATTGTAAAATAGTTATTTTTTCGCTTAAAATATATTCACACATCCTAACTTTCATTTCAAGTTCAAATTATTATTTCAAATTTTCAGTTATAAAACTAGTTATTTTAATTTGTTTCCATGCTCCTCCTGATCACACTTGTAATCCGTTTAGAATAACCATTTTACAATTATATTCTAATCCTGTGTAGTTTTTTTGTTTCTGTGCCTCTAGTAATCTATATTCACACCTCCTAACTAACATTTCAAGTTGAAAATTTTGATTTCAATTTGTTTCCATACTCATTTTGTTTGTTCACACCTGTAATTCGTTCTATCCCTGCGCAACTTTCGTCTCAAAGCCTCTTGTAATTCATATCAAGTTGGCAACAATTATCACCTTTTATTCGACTTTAAAATTATTTCTCCAATTATTAAATATTGATTTTATTATCACATATGCGGGCACATCCATACGACAAGTACCGAAAAGCACGAAATGCGCATTCTGAATTCCACCACTGCTAGTTACCCATCAGTCACCAATTTACTAGATAAACAAAATTTGAAAGATTATATGAACAACGCCTCGATAGGATGATTATTAGAAGCAATAAACTGTGCTCGAAAAGTCATCAGTATAAATAAGCAGTACATTATCATTGTGTAATTTGAACAAATAAAAAATTATCACATCATAGAATCTACGAAGGTGCATAAAATTGTCATGCCTAAACTCAAGACACAGAAAACTTTAATAACTATAAAATTTATAAAATATCAAAGGGTAAGTTGTCACGCGGCATATATGTTCTCAATTGTTCATCCAGTCCTCAGCCACCCTTTCTCTCTCTCTCTCTCTCTCTCTATATATATATATATATATATAGAGAGAGAGAGAGAGAGAGAAAGACAGGTCTGAAGGTCACGTGCAGGACGCTTGATGTAATCACGAATGTGTTGAACTAAATTCTGAATCTTGACAAAATATTTGTCCTAGTATGGGAGTCATCGGCAGTACGCACCCACTGGGGTTCGAGTCCAGAACCTTCCGGTTACAAGGCAAGCTCGTATACCACTCAGCCACTGGGTACCACACAGTCATACACCCGTTGACTGTGTATTGGTTTTCAGGAGAACCAAACACATCCATCCCTGCCTTTTGCGAGACGAGATCGGCATACAGGACCATCCTGTGGCGCAACCACTCGAGAGCTCTCTCCCTCGGTGGACTACTCCACACTCCCACACATTATTAGTGTTTCGGTGGCACAGAGGTTAGGACGCTCGCCGACCGCCCACATGGTCTGGGATTCGACCCCCGGTGGACGAAGCACTCCTTTACCTCGCTAAGCCAATAGTAAGACTGGTAAAGCGGAAAGGTTGGGTATGAGGCTAGCAACCCCATCCTGTAAAAATAAACACCACTGCTACAAGTGTTTCGATGATACAATAAAGCTGCTGCGTGAACATTTTGGAGACCACTCCTCATTATTCAGCATACGTTATCGTTTCCTCAAGCTGACCATGAATGAAAATGATAATTTTCTTACTCACGTTGGCACAGTCAACCGAGAATGTGAGAGATTTCGACTCAGGTCCTTAACAGATGATCAATTCAAAGCCCTGATTCTCATATGCAGTCTTCAATCTCCTCGTTACACAGATATCCGAACTCGACTTCTCAATCACCCAGAGAAAAATCCTATGTTAACATTACATGACATAGCTGATGAATATCAACGGCTGATTAATTTGCAGAAAGACACACACCTGGTCGAATCAACAACTTCGAGAAGCTCTGATATTCATGGATTACGAAAGAGCAAAAATCTCTAATCATCCACTCCTGACCCACCTTCTACTAATGTTTCGCGTAAATCTACACATACTCGTCCAACTTCTCAAATTACTGCAAAGAAGACCCCACCATCACCATGCTGGCATTGTGGCGCATGGCACTTTGTAAAGTCTTGTCCATACAAAAATCATCGTTGCAGCAAGTGCAAAATCATCGGTCATAAAAATGGATTTTGCCAGCCCCGCAAACTCAGATATCAACATACAGCGAAAGCTCGACAAACTGTTGGTCCTAAATCCCCAAAAAAGTCAATGAGTCTAGTCGCAACCTGTCAAGTCACAACACCAGGTATGCGGAAATATCTTGATCTTCAGATTAATGGTCATGATACACGTCTGCAGCTAGATACCGCCTCTGATATTACTGTTATATCAGAGAAACTTTGGAATAATATTGGCAGACCACCTGTCACAAATACTTCCCAGACTCTTCTCAGCGCCTGTGGTGGGCGGCTTAAACTAATTGATGAAATCAAATGTTCTGTTTCATTCCGCAACATCAAATTCACAGGAATTTGCTACGTCACCAAGAGTGATTTAAATCTTTTGGGACTTGATTGGTTCGATCGTTTGCATCTGGCTGATGTCCCACCAAATTCGCTATGCAATGCAGTCAAGAAGCATAAAATGTCAGACAATTCCGGATGAAGCCGAAGCCGCAAAACCAACAGGCAGACAAAGCGATAGACGTCAACAACAAGCTCAACGGTTCCAGATAAACCCCTAAGAAAACACGCTACTAATCATCAATCTTCTCAAAGGGGAGGTGATATATATCCATATAATATGTGTGTTTGACAGTCTGATATATTTCGCTATGTATATATGGATCGATATTCCATTATAATTAGCCAATCATGTTAAGACTGTCTATTGATTTGTTCATTTTGAATATTCGCTCACACACTTGTTCTGACATTCATATATATTTTTGCTCTCACACTCTTGTGTGATATTGATTCTCCTTGTGTTTGGAAAATAGAAGTATCATCGCAAACCTAGTGGTCTTCTGATTTCCGTCTTTCTCGCGTCAGAACTATTAAATTCTCGACCAGTACATAACAGTTATATAAAAGCTGATATGAAATACGTGACATATATTGACATCGTAATGTATGATAAACACAACGTAAGTCACTAGACGTTATATCTGGTCTAGATCGATAAACGTATCAATCACATAAGAATAACCAATCAAACTGATATAAAAACATTATAACGTCAGTAGACAAACATATTTCTACTTTTGAAATATGAAAAATATCCATGTGACATAAATTATTAAGAGCACATTGAGGTCAGCAAAAAATGTTCTTTTATGTAACTACAATTCAAAGCTTAACAGTTATTATTTAACTGGTGGATGGTGACTAGCAGTGGAATCCAGGATGCGCATTTCGTCCCATTTGTGACTCGTCATCTGGATGCAACTGCATTTCTCAGTGAGTGATGATGTTCCCACCGAGGCTGGAAACCAGTACCCATAGTTTCAAACGCCAAAGCGTTATCCACTAGATCACCAGTCCCAAATAGGACGAAATGCGCATCCTGGATTCCATTGCTAGTCACCACCCACCAATTAAATACTAACTAAGTGCCCAGACATTGTCGAAGCATCTGCACCGACATGTCAACTATGTCAGCTACAAAAACAGCTATTTTAAGTTTGTTTCTATGCTTTTCCCTGTTCACACTTGTAATCCGTTTAGAATAACCATTTTACAATTATATTCTAATCCTGTGTAATTTTTTGTTTCAATGCCTCTTGTAATCTATATTCATACCTCCTAACTAACATTTCAAGTTGAAAATTTTGACTTCAATTTGTTTCCATGCTCATTTTGTTCACACCTGTAATTCGTTCTATCCCTGCGTTTCTAAGCCTCTTGTAATTCATGTCTGTCTGTCTGTTTTCGATATAGAACTTTGCACAAATGTGCGGAAGTTCAAGTCGCCACACTCCGTGTAGCACGCGAAGCAAGAGAAGAAAGTACAAGAAAAGCATAATAGAAACAGTGAGCAGAGGTGTGAGACAAAGGAGTAATAAAGAAAAACAAAACAGTTTCATTGGAGATCATAAGTCACAAGGAGTGGATGCACCTGCGCCACTGAGAACGATTTTGAGCCATGTCACCAATTGTTTCCAACCATAGATTTTTACCGTCTCGAGGACCCCAGCCTGGCAGTCTACACCTTCCTACGTGGCTTAGACCAACTGTTGTGGATTTCATTGACTGATGCCAAGTTTTTGTTTGACCGCCACTAGCTCTCTTCCAGCTAACATTGCTCGTCGAGGGAGGCGATGGCTTGGCATACGTAACACATGTCCTAACCATCTCAGTCTTTGTAGCTTCACGACTTCGTCGATTGATTTCCCTGTTTACCTAGAACTCTACGCCTAACCTCAATGTTGTTCACCTTATTATGCCACTTTACACGGGAAATAGAGCGCAAGCACCTATGATTCATATCAGGTCGAAAATAATTATCACCTTTCATTCGCCTTTAAAATTAATTATTATTATTAATAATTTTTTGCATACGTTATGACTATTTTTTTAATCCTATGAAATCTTGTCTCTAAGCCACTTGTAATCTATATTCGTACCTCCAAACTTTCATATCAAGTTGAAAATTATTATCACCTTCGCTACTATGTGAAATTAAACAAATAATAATTGTATCCATGTAAAATAATCTATATAAATGCGATTGTACAGCTGCTTTTGAGAATGAAATCGCCGAAAAGATCGCCATCTTTGCTGAACTTCGTGTTCTCTTCTTTTTAAATCTAATAACTGCTCATAATTCTTTTAATTCTTTTTTCTTTTATTTACCTTTGTGTACTACATGGAGTATACAGCAACAGGAACTGTTGCACTTCTATACAAAGTTATACGTTACAAAAATCCAGCCCCATCCAACGGAAAGTACGTAGGAACTATAAAGCCGACAGACAGACAGAATCTGTCTTACTTTCCATTTGAGACTTCTCAAATCACATGGTGGCACTCTCAAAACTGGTAGTCATTGTTACACTATTATTATTATCGCTATATTTTTAACGTTTTTTTTTAGTCCCGAGTGGAACATAAGGCTCCACAACAGCACATCTCCACTTTCTCCTATTCTCGGGAGTCCTCTGAAGTTGGTCTCATGATTGCTCTTAGTCTCTCACCTCCTTCATTTTACCCTCGGACACACACGTTCAACTCGTCGCCTCCCACAGAGGTTCCTCTCTAGCGTTGACCTGGCGTGCGATGTCAACTTACAGTCTCCTCAGAGTGTGTCCAATCCACCTCCATTTTCCCCAACATATTTGTTAATCAATAGGCTCTTCACTGGTTTCTTCTCAGAGTTTTTGCTGCTAATTTTTTCAGACCAGCCATCTGATTTTCGGTATGAAGTTAGCGAAGAAGGTTGCTGTTGATAAAAGTTTGAAATCTCGTGAGGCGCTCACCAAGTTTCTGGCCTATATAGAAGAAACGATTGAACACTGTGGTGAAAATCCTAATCTTGTTCTTTAGGTAGCTAAGTGCAGAAGCGTAGAAGATTTTCAAACTGATTCCAGAGTGATGAAGGTTCGTCTTGGTTCCGACATCTTCATCCATTTACTCTGGCATGTGGTTGAAACAACGCTTCCTAAATAGGCGAAGGAAGTGACCACCTTCAAATTTCTCTTTGCCGATGGTGATTGGTACTGGTTGTTGTCGTTGTTGGTTGATTGGTTGGTTATCTTCACCACCTCTTCTTGACATGGAGTCCTGCCTTCACTGTCTACTCAACTCTTCATCCAGTTTGTTGATTTCACCCGTAAGTCTTCGAGTTTGTGTGACACGTGACATGAATCATCTGCGAAGTCCACATGTAAAAAGTCTTCTCGTTGGGTCCAACGTTTTCCTGTCTTCTTGTTACCCACAGTCTGACGTATATATAAGCCAGTCCACTGTTACGCCTCTCCGGTGTACACCTGACATCCGGCTATCGGCCAAACGGCGTGTGCACTGCTCATCAGTCCGCTCCGTCCTCCTTTATTGCTGTGGAACCTGGCCGTTGAGAGTGGAAGACAAGAAAGATTTGGTTAGCTTTCTTTGATCATAGGTACCTGCGGGTTATCTCACGTGTGAAGTGGTACAATAGGGTGAGCAATATTGAGGTTAGGCTTCGGTCGAGTGCTAGGTAAGAAAGGGAAATCAATCAACGAGGCTGTGAAATTACATCAACTGACATATGTTACTCATGCCTAGTCATCGCCTTCCTCGACGGACAATGTTAGCTGACATAGGGTCAGACTGGAAAAGAGCTAGTGGCGGTCAAACCAAAGCATGGCACCAGTCAGTGAAATCCACAACAGTTAGTTTAAGCCAGCCACGTAGGAAGGTGTAGACTTCCTGACTAGTTGAGGTCCTCGGGACGGTAGAAACCAATGGTTGTAAACTATTAGTGATATGGCCCAAAATCGTTCTCAATGGCTAGCTCACATGCATCCACTCCTTGTGACTTATGATTTCCAATGAAACTATACTGTTCTTCATTATTACTATTCTTTTGTCTCACGCCTCTGTTTACTGTCTCTATTATGCATTTCTCCTACTTTCTTCTCTTGCTTTGTGTGCTACAAGGAGGGAGTGTGGCGACTTGAACTGCCGCAAATCGGTCTAAAGTTCTATGTCGAAGACAGACAGACATAAACAATATCTCAGGGAAGACAATATAGACACACATAATCCCATATACATAAGTGAACACTGATCAATCTGATCTAGCATAAATCAACAACAACAACAACGAAGAAAGGGGGAGCAGGGGTGGAAATCACTGAACATACCTCAGAAATAGGAGTATTTATAACACACTGGTTTAACTCATCTTCATTTGAAACATTCAACTCGTTCCCCTTTGATGAATCCTTTATCCCATAGGATAATTTCCCCGGTGATAATGGAATATCCAATAATTCTGATTGAAGATCAGGTGTTTGACCATGTAGAGAAAAGACTAGAGAGAATAAAACAAGGAAAATAAATAATCAATCCCTTGAATAAATTTCTATATAGGGCGGTTGGAATAAAAGTATGATGGATCAAGTTTGATCACAGATGGATATTAATTAGACAGAGAACCATTGAAAACCACTAGTCAGTACTAAATAGCTGTTTCTTCCTAGTTTTGGGATGCATCGACAGTATGCACCCACTGCGTTTCGAACTCGGAACTTATGAAATTATGATGTAGTTAATGAGCCCAAGTGGTGAATTTAAAACTAAAACAGCTACGGTGAAGGTCTGTTAAATATTGACCTTTAAGAATCAATCAGATTTAGGGGGACACTAAGAACAAGTTGGCAGAAGAATCACCAAAGATAGGACTTCACTTCAGGTGAACATAGATAAAACAGAGGTGATGAAGATTCCTAGGCAACAACAACAACAACAAAAGACAACAATCAGCCAGCATAAATAGGAGGAACCTGAAAGAAACAACCTCCTTTACCTACCCACCTACCTAGGAAGCATCGTTTCAACTACAGGCGGACGGGACTGAAGAGGATATCAAAGCCAGAATCGGAAAAGCAAGACAAGCTTTCATTACTCTCAAGTCTGTGTGGAGGTCAAAAGCACTCACCATCAAAAATAAGAACCAGATTCTCAACTCCAATGTGAAGTCAGTGCTACTCACTATACGGATCAGAGACTTGGCGGGTCATAAAGAGCACCTTAAACAAACTACAGATCTTCATCCACAGCTGTCTTCGCTTAATACTCAAGGTCAGATGGCCGGCCAGAAAAGATCAGAAAGTGGGATCTCCGGGAGCAAACCAACCAGGAACCGACTGTGAAACAAATAAGCAGGAAGAAGTGGAGGTGGATTGGCTGGCCATACTCTGAGGAAACCACCAAGTGACATCACTAGACAAGCCATTACTCGAGTGGAACCCGAAAGGGAAGCGGCGAGTTGGTCATCAGAGTGAGGGTGACTTGGAGGAGGTCATATGAAGAGGAAATGACAAGCATGTAGGCAAACTTGGAGCCAGGTGAAGACGTTGGCAGAGAACCGAACGCGATGGAGACGCTTAGCTGAAGCCCGATGTTCCTCTAGCAATTAAAGAAAATAATAATAAATAATAAAAACAAAATGACTGACTGGTTTCAACAGAGAACTTTGCACAGAAGCGCACCAAATCGAATTACCACACTTCCCCCGTGTAGCACACAAAGCAAGAGAAGAGATTAAAGAGAAGTTCAAAGGTAGGAGAGATAATAAACAGAAGTATTAGTCAGCTTTAAACCATTTAGCGTTCCAAGTCTGTTTTATTCTTATTTTCATACACAAACACATTCAATTTGCCTTGAGATAAACCTTGTCGCCTAAGAAGTATGCATTAAACCAGACTTCAAGACACAACAATCAAAAATGCAACACACAAGCTGGATGGAATGCATAAATCTATGCCTAACAACATACTTCCAATTCAACGGCCAAATATATGAACAAGTCAAAGGAACACCCATGGGATCGCCAATATCAGGTTTGATTGCAGAAACAGTGATGCAAAGACTCGAAAATTTTATTATTTTATTTATTTTTATTTTTGATTTACAGCTTGATTCCACACTGTACTTTTGGTACAAGTATGGAATTTTCAGCATGGATATCGGTAGCTAAAATTTCGCAGGCCGACCATAGATATCAGGTGTGCGCCGGCGTGGGCTCGAACCCCGGACCATGTGCATGGTCGGCGAGAGTCCTAACCACTGTGCCACCGACGCAATTCTACCAAAGATCAAACCCAAGATTTGGATACGCTACGTCGACGACACATTTGTAATCATCAAAAGAAACGAATTAGATAAAACTCACAACTTAATAAACAACGTCTTCAACGACATCAAATTCACAAGACAAGAGGAATCCGAGAACAAAATAGCATTTTTGGACGTCTTAGTCAGGCGAACAACTACAGAAGAATTAGAAACTCAAGTTTATAGGAAATCAACTCACACAGACCAAATACTGAATTACAACAGCAACAACCCAATAACACACAAAAGGAATTGCATACAAACACTATTCAAGAGAGCAAGGACTCACTTCAGCACTCCCACCTTAAGGAAAATTGAAGAAAAGTATCTCATGGACGTCTTCCAAAAGAATGGATATCCACGGAATTTCATCAAGAGACATATACCCCCAAGCCAACCTACCAAAGCAAAAACCACCAAGGAAAGCACAAAGAAAATTGCCTTACCATATATAAAAGATATCTCAGAAATCACCACAAGACTCTTCAAACCTTTAGGAATTGACGTCGTACACAAACCAACAAAGTCGCTGCACTCAATTCTATGTCAACCAAAAGACTCAACAGCGAAAGAAGACAAAACCAACATCATCTACAAAATAAATTGTAACAACTGCGAAAAACACTACATTGGCCAAAGTGGACGTCCCCTTCGTCTTCGTATCCACGAACATAAGCTAGCCGTCAAAAGACATGATATCCACTCCCTCATTTCACTACACACAGACAACTACGGACATCAATTCGACTGGGACAACGTTCAAATATTAGACAAAGTAAATAACAAGAATGCTAGAGAATTTTTAGAAGCTTGGCATTCCAGTGAATCATCAATCAATAGACACATCGAGATAGACAAAATTTATCAACCAATAAGAAAGAAACTTCACACACAAAGGGTCAAAGTTCAAGTCAAAGAAACAACCGGTTCCAATACAAGTAACCTAGAAGGTGTGAAAACACACACAAACAACCAATCACGTCCAAGGTCACCAGGAGAGATGATTAATAAACTCGTGGAGAAATCTAAAAGCTCACTTCAAATTGAAGTATGCGCTGAAGATGTCACCCAGTAAGGTGATGAAAGCTTTGCAAACTAACCATCCAGCTCAGAGAACAAAACCACATCAAAAGACATGGAAATACAAAGAAACGATAGTCTACAGTAGGCCTTTCAATATAAATTTCATGGAGAATGTCGCTTTGATGTGCTAATCAAATCTATCTAGTTAGATAATTCCATATTAGTTTGTTTATTAGATGTGTCACGCACTGAAACAGTATTATTTACTGGATGACACAGTTTCGAACAAAATTTATTGTTCATTATTATATCAATTGTCACCACACGACTTTGAAACTTGAGTATTATAGCTTTCTTTGTCTTCTCCTATTTGTGGTCGTTGGGGTGGTAGAACTCTCCAGATGTTCGTCTGGGACATGTGTTGAATCATTTCTATTACATGTATTTGCAGTTGATTCGGTAAACAAAGCTACTATCAACCTCTCCCTCCACCCTGTGACATTAGATTTTAAAATTCTCATCCTATCCCATCCATCCTAATGCATGGTTGTGTGTAATTGCATGTAGTGAGTGCTATAGCTGAACTATTCTCTAGATTTCTTATCTTATTCGGGTCAACCAATGCGCCGGTGGCACAGTGGTTAGGACTCTCGCCCACGATGCACATGATCCGGGGTTCGATCCCCTGCCGACGCACACCTGATATCTATGGTCGGCCTACAACATTTGGGCTACCGATATCCATGCTGAAAATTCCATACTTGTACCAAAAATACAGTGTGGAATCAAGCTGTAATAAAAAAATAATAATAAAAGAAATAAAATCTAGATTTTGCCAGGTTTTTATGTTCAGTCAGTCTAGTCTGACTGCCCCTGTTCCACTAGTTTGACCTATGTATTTGTTCTGACAACCATCACAGGCAGGGTATTAGATAAACTAAATTGTTTTGTTTTAAAGGCTCCATAGGATTGACCCTTTAACCAACAAAGCTTGTTTCTACTTGAGTTTGTTAGTTTGAATGCCAGCCACCTGTATTCCTGCCTTGTTAAGAATTCTGCGTAAGGTGGTTTCCGAGGTTCCTTCTTTGTATGGAATTACTACTGATGATTTAGATTCCTTATTGTTGGTGTCGTCAAGAATCTATGGCTGCCTGGATATTTTTCCAAGCTTCTTCAGGGTGAGCACACCTGTCGAACACAGATATGTGTTTAGCTAGTTCTTCCTCAAATACGGATTTAGATTCCTGATCGAGCTGGGAACGTGATGGTTTTACCGCCAGCTGTTTCCTACGTCCGTTCAGTCGTAAGCACACCCGAGCGCGGACCAGTGCATGGTCGGTATCTACGCACGTGTTCCAGAAGGAGCGACAATCTCCTACCGACTCACGCCAACGATAGCTTATTGCTATGTGGTCTATTTGTGTCCAGCGTTGGTTTGATGAAGGGGGTCTCCAAGTCAAACAGTGTCTCTCCTTGTGTTTAAAGCTAGTGCTTACAAGAAACAAATGATTATCAGAGCAGAACTGTAGGAGACGGTCACCGTTATCGGTTCGCTGGCACGGAGCTCCATAGGCGACTTGAACTTCAGCACATTTGTGCAAAGTTCTATGTCGAAAACAGACAGACAGATAGACAGTCATCAAGAATATTATTATTATTATCACTATTATTCTTATCATTATTATTATTATCAATATTATTATTATCATTATCAATACTATCATTATTTATTTTACTTTTACATTTCCCCACACAATTCCTTATTAATTTATCAGGGTAATTATTAAGTTTCAAGGCTTCTTTTATGTGTATCATTTCTTGTCTTAGATTTTCCTTGGTACTACTTAGTTTTTGTGCCCTGTTACTTAAATATTTCACCAATCGTATTTCTACTGACATAGGATGGGATGATTGGAAGTCTAAATATCTGTTTAAATGTCTGGGTTTCCTGTAAACATTCGTGTTTAACTTCCTATCTTCTTTCCTTTTTACCTACTTAGATATATATTGACCGAAATCCCTTTTTCTCTGAAGAATGCTCAGTAAGGCGTATATCAGTTTCCAGATTCCTTTGTCCTTCTCCCCTGAGTGTGAGGCAGGAAGACAATAAGATAGATTGGATATATGCTTAGGAGACTACTGGTTGGTTGAGTAACATCATGCGCCAGACCATCGCGCTCGAGCAGAACCTATATGATAAAGGACTAATTGGGTGACACAGAGATCGTATTTTTGGCGAATGAAAGCTTATAGGTGATCAATGAATCCAGTTAAACATAAGAACTGAAGAGAACACAGAGAAATATGTGATGTTGAAGCTCTAAGCCTCACTAGAAACCCAAGGGAACAACACTAATAATAATGATAACAATAATAACAATAACAATACTCTAATACAGAAAACTAAACTCTACCTAATTCATTTGGATAAGCTCTGGAATGTTTAGGCAATGGGATATTATCACGAATCATTGGAATTGAACGTCCTGTCAGCGGATGACGAACAGAAACATCTAAAACCTCTGGCCATGGTGATACAGATGTACACGATGCAATAGACAACTTGTTTGCATTACTTAGATTATCCCAATCAGAGTGTAGAACTAATTTTCGGCTAAAATTTAAGACACGTTTTTCTTCTGGCTAAAATAATACATAAAGGAAGAAAATAATACTAACAAATTGAATCACATTTATATCATAATATTGTATATATACATTACCATAATATCGTATATAGTATATCAACCGATGCTCCCATAAACAACTTGGTACGACGGACGGTGGGTAAGACTTCTGATTTACTCTCAAAATGTACTCATATGGTCATGCACTCATAGTCTATGTTAAGTAAATTCCATGCAGGAGCCTGTACCTGCAATCACTCTTGTGGGTGAACCGCTTGAAGTTGTTGATAAGTTCGTGTATCTGGGTAGTTGCGTGAGTGCTGGCGGGGGAGTGACTGATGAGATTTCCAACTGTATAATGAAGGCTAGGGTGGTATACATCAACTTGAGCCACCTATGGCGCCGTCACGACGCTAGCCTGGCTGTCGAAGTTTGGGTATACAATGCCTCGGTGCGGGCTGTCTTGCCCTACGACAGGCCTGTGAAACCTGGCCTCTCTGAGCTGAGGATGAGCGCCAACTCTGGGCGTTAGATCATCGCCGTCTCCGCAGGATTGTTTGCGTTCGATGGCATCATCACCGGCTCCGGTGGCTTGGATATGTGCTGCGAATGTCATCCCAGAGGCTTCCGTACAGGTCTCTGTTCGCTAGCCCTGGGACAGGATGGAAAAGTCGGAGAGGTGGTCAGTTCATGACATGGCGTCGTGGGATGAAGGATTTTTGTGCTACATTAGCATCGGTTGGTGTGTCACGACTCCCTGGTTGGCATCCGCAAGATAGCTCGAATCGGTGGCTCGAAACGTTATCGGATATGGCCAAGAAACGTAATCAGTGGTGAACGTGTTGCAATTTCCTTCTTTCTTCCCTTCCCGATGACAGTTGACGACTACTGTTTGAACTTGTTAAGCATGACAGTTTTCCTTCCAGATGAAGTTCTTTATCCGTTCTCTACTTGTATTTATTTTTTTTACTTTTGATCTACGTTGTTTTATTATTATTGTGTGGCCCATCTTTCCTGGTGACATATTGTACCAAGTTTTTTCTGCGTTTAAATAATAAACAAATAAATAATGCAGTGTTTACATGCGGTGGCTAAGGTGTTCCTCACAACAGTGGAAATGAAAATGCGAACGCCTCCGCTTACAACCGGACGACTGGTGGATATACAAGTTCACTTAGGGAGCTGGAAATCTCTCGTCCCAAATCTACGATGTGTACATGGGTTCCAGAATCTAAAAGAATCCAATGGTGCATAAACTTGTTTTGACTACCACAAAACTAATGGGGACGTATCTCCTAACGCCAACGCACTGCCTTGCGGATAGGATTTGGACTCGCAGTCTCGGAGGGGCGGCGCACCTGTCCATCTCGATGTAGTTGTTCGCACAATATCCCAGACCTCAAACGAACTATACGATATTGTGTGGCAAATCTATTGATGACCATAATATATACTAAGGTTACGCTTTAATAAACAAATAATACAGTCAACCAATAAATAATCATGGGTAATAATAAAAGCAAGATGATAGATAGAATCCACCAACTACTGTATTTATAAACTTTGTCATTATTTTATAAGTAGTGGCTAACAGTAAAATTCAGCATTTGGGTTTCGTCCTAACCAGGACTCATCAGCAAGACAAAACCAGACTGCACTTGAGATTCTAACTCAGCACTTGCAATAAATATGTACTATAATAATGACTAACTAACATCAAAGATGATGCTAGTGAACCTCATTAAATAGAAGATTTAAACTTGTGATCAACTCTGTGTTTGGTCATGGCTTACAGGGGGAATCTGCAAAGTGTGTTCCGTTCATCCGCGACTTGCTGGTTGGGGACACCATCATAGTGAATGGTTGTCTTCCTACTGGGACCCAAACCCAGCACTGACGTTTCAAATGACGAAATTTTATCCACTACGCCCCTGGGTCATAAAAGCGACCGAGTATGCAATGGGGTGTCGTTTGCTGACATTACTTCGAAAAACCAATTAATTGATTCCACTGGACCAAAATCCTCCTTCTCTGTTGACATGTTGCCAATAGTGCAGTCCAGGTCAAGTGCATTTTGTCCTATTCAGTGACAGTGTCCGTGCAATGAAACTCGATCCGAGTAATCAGTGTTTCAAATACCAACGCCAGTGGAAAAATTAACTAACTGCCTATAAACATTCACTGATATTCTTTAGGTTCCTAGTTTTCTAATTACAGATATCTGCTCACATACCCAGAGTAATCTAATCAGTACTGCCAGTGTGAAACATAGGGGGCTTCAAGAATTGAGTTTTGAAGTTCCAGAAGAAGTGGTGTTATTCTTTTTCACGGAGTTTAGCTCCTAGCCTAACACCCAAATCACCAGCCTGGATAGGTGAGGTTTAGTACTACTGCAGCATCGGCTAGGAATCGAACCGAGGATCATGTGCATGGCTGGTGAGCATTCGACCGTTGAACCAGTGACGCACTAACCACTACGAATAAGTGTTTTGTCTAACTCTAGTCATACTAGACTAAGTTTGATAGATATCTCTCCGACCGACCTCCAAGTGAACACAGACTCAAGAACAAAACCATTGGAAAACCTCGGAGTACTGGACAGCTGTTTTTTCATCAGCCTAGTTTGAGACTCATCACCTGGATTCGAACCCTTCCCGGTTACGAGATGAACTTGTAGACCATTTAGCCAATGGGACCCGACTCAAGAGTCCATGAATTCCGGGTATGAACCCCGCGAGCGCGTACTGATGAAGAGTCCCAAACTAGGACGAAACGCCTCTCCAGTACTTTTAAGCTTTTTTTAATTCATGATTTACTTTATTCCAAAAACAGTACTTGTGATACAGAATGGAATTTTCAGCATTATTCACAATATTGCATCTAATTTCCTCAAATTATTAATAAAATCAATCACACAGAAAGCTTTCCACATTTACAATAGAGATAGTGTCAAAAACATGCAGCATATAAAATGGAAATAACAATAATAATGATAACAGCTAAGGTAATAATAATGATAATACAAGTGAAAATTTCCGTGGGCTTGTTTCACATAGTATTGTCAATGTGGTATAGAAATCCTAACATGTTTAAGCATATTGACTATAATGTTCTTTCTACATGATATGGTGAAGGGAAAAACAAAGATTACAGCCGTCATGGAGATAAGTTAGTGTTTGCAATTATGAGAGTAAAACAGAGAAGTAACAGGACCATAAATATAATAGAAGTAATAAAAGTAAAACTTGAAAGTATGTAAGGATGGATGGAGGAAATTGTTTATTTACTAGATGAAAAAAGGTTAGTTAATTCTTGCCTGACACTATTTTCATCACATAAAATACGTGCCAAGTATGGTATCATAGAATTTTTATACTTAGACGTACGAGCATACAGTTTTCTGAAGTTACTCCTTGTTCTACCTGAGGAGATGCAAGGTGAAAGCTGAGGGTAAAGCGGATGCTCCAAGTCAGACAAAATCCCTTCAGCAAATTTATTGCACGAAGTCAAGTGCCTATCGACAACGACGTTAACTATGTGGTCCACTGGGACACCACTCACCCTACTGACAGTCTTCAGTATTCTACGAATTGTGACATAGTCTTTTTTAAGCAAACCAGGAAAGAATAAAGGTGAACAATAAAGAAGAATTGGTTGGATGCAAGAGTTTATGAATTAACTGTAAGATGAGGGGTTGAGTTATACCCGAGTGTCTTAACTTCTTAATGTAAAATGTCAGGCGGATTATTTTACTGGAGATTGCTAAGACATGGGAAGTCCAGGAGAGATCAGAAGAGAGAATGAGTCCAAGATACTTAATTTCTGATTTGATTCCTATATCATTGTCGTCAATCTTACAACTGTCATGAGAATCGATGACTTCTTTTAACTGTCGTTTACATCTTAAGCTGAAATCAACAGTTTGACACTTAGAAGGATTCAGTTTAAGACCGTTAGACTCAGACCATTTGCTGACTTCCGATAGAAAGCTATTTATTTTAGTACAATCTAGCTGGGAGTTAACAGCCATTGAAACCGTTAAATCATCAGCGTACTTCACTCTCAGGTTATCCAATGTTTCTCTGTGACTGACGTCGGCTTGTAATCAATCCAGTATCCAATCAAATACCTGCAAACCAACCCTTATCAAGAACAAAATAACATAATGAATGCATTAAAAGCCTACCTACCTTTCTATACATATCTGCAAAGTATACACTATCTGAACCAACTCTTATATAACTGATTAAATCAGCAACAGCTAAACTTGGATACTTTGTAAATACAACCAGACGGTCTTTGGTTTTTTTACTCCTTATTGAATGACCATCTGTTGCAGGTGAATAAAGCATTTGATGTTGACGTGGATCAACTCTCTGTCGTTCATCAGATGAGATTACATCGAATTCTATTTGAGTGCCATTCAGATTACCAAGCCAACCACGTTGTAGATTGACAACATCACGCCATTCATTATTTTCAATGTCTTTTAAACCATCTAAAAGAGACTGCCAAAAAATAAATAAATAAAAATTATACATAAATATCATCAGTCAATGAAATAACCTGTAATTATCTATTATAACTGTAAGCGCATACAACAGAAGCAATTATTCGGCAAAATTACACTTTAAGCACCACACACTATCACCAATCGGCGAATGACCTCGAACGCATCAATCACGTGAAGGAGGTATTTTCGCGTATGGAATATAGATATTTATGAAAAAATTATACAAAAACTGTATAAGTGTTACAGAGGACACCTTTCTCTCATATATGATAAAAATAGCTCTCAGATTCAGGTTGAAGTATCAACAGAGTATAATTCCATTGTGGGTAAAATTTATAAAGTCGTATAGTGTTATGCAGTAATATTTACTGAGCAATAAATTGTGCTTGAAACGTGGTCATCAGTGGACATTATTGTATAACACTTTGAGACTTTATCAAAGTTTTACCCACAATGGAATTATACACAACCACAGTGCACAAGTTCTGTTCTTATATCACTTAGTAAAGGGAATAATACAAACGCTACTATTAGATATTAAACTCACCGTTATCTTCACCAAGAAAGTGAGTAGACCCAACAGAAATGTTTAAAAGCAACAGTTCATCAAGACAATACAGGGCTGGCTTAAACAAAACATCTCCACTTTCTTCTATTTTCTGCCGTCCTCTTCCACTTGGACCGCCATTGCCCACAATGTCTCATCTCTTCACAAGATCTCTTCCATGTCATCCTCGCACCTACGACCTAATCGTCGCTTCTCGTTAGAATTCCACTCGAGGGCCTGATGTGCGATGTCATTCGACGGTCTCCTCAATGTTTGCCCGATCCATCTCCACTTTTCTCCTAGGCATTTGTTGAGCGATCGGTTATCGATTGTTGGTTTATTCCCAAAGTTTCTTGTTACTAATTCTCTCTGGCAATTTGATCTTTAGTATGGAGCCAGAGAAGGCAGCTGTTGATTAAAAGTCTGCAACCTGCTGGAAATCCTTTTTGTATCACACTGGTCATGTTTCCGACCCGTATAGAAGGACCGACTTCACATTGGTGTTGAAAATGCGAACCTTGTTCCTTGTGCTGAGTGCAGAAGATTTCCAAACTGATTTCAGGTTGATGAAGGCGTATGTTGCCTTTCCGATTCTGACTGACTTTGACACCTTCATCCGTTCCGCCGGCCTGTGGTTGAAATGATGCTTCCTAGATAAGCGAAGGCAGTAACCTCTGTTAAATCTCTCCCGCTGATGGCGATTAATGCTGGTTGTTGCTGTTGCGGTTCGTTGGTTGTCTTCATCACCTCCGTCTTCTCTATGTTCACCTGGACTCCTATCTTCGTCGCTTCTTTAACCAGTTTGTCAGTTTTCGCCTATAAGTCTTCGAGTTTGTATGACATTAGACATGAATTATCCACCAGCGAAATTCAGATCTTCTAGTGTAGGCAACACAAAATGTATCGAGTTCGGTGATGGACTGATAATAATAGTTAGAAGACAATAGAAAACCAGGTAGTCTACAGCTATTTCGACCTGCTTCGGGTTTCTTCCTCTGTCCGAACCCATGAACACATCGGGGATCGAAAGAAGGAACCTTTGGTTACCAGGTGAGCTTGTTGAATATTCAACCACCAGAACGAAATCCAATGATTCATGAATGTTAACCTCAACGCCTTCTGATTCGTTGTTTTCTAGCTCAAGGTTATTCTGTACTGCTTGTGACCGTTTCTTAGAAATTTAAACCACATATCTGCAAATCCTATTTGCACACGTTAAGTTTGCTTTGATTGGTTGGTGAGTTCCTCAAGGTTAGGCTTTGTTATTGTTTTCCCTCATGACCCCGATTCGGGATGTGACATTGACGTAAATCGCTGTCTACAGTTTGGGCTTACAGCCAGCTCTCACCACAACAGTAATGACACTAGATTATGTAAACCCATAGGCCCCTAAGAATGAATTATTGGCCATTATATATTAAAAATTATTTTGCAGAAGAATCCATTTTTGGAAAAGTATCAACTTTAGAATGAAATAATTAGGAAAAAAACTTATCTTTCTGTCTGCTGACAAAAAATTGTTACATAATACTCAGCATACCCCTCCCTACCTTAGAATAAGCAGTTGTTCGAAAAAACCATTGACGTAAAGGTCGACGTTCTACCTTAGCACCAGAACGCCAAGATCGTCCTTGACTATCAATCAGCTCATCAGCGAGTACAGTTTTATCAATTGGATCCCAATTCACATAAGCTGATCTATGATAAGCTAAACCTGATTGAAATAATTTAAGAAATATCCATTGAGTCCATTTATAATAATTTGGATCACAAGTGCTCAACTCTCTTGACCAATCAACAGTTAGCGACATTGTTTCATTCATTTGTTGTTTCATTGAAAGTATATTCCTACAATGAAAGTCAATAACACAACAACAACATAATACACGAATATAATCGAGACGATTAAAGCATTCCCAACAGGTTACAGACTTATATGAACAACTGACTTCTCTGGCTCTCTATGAAAGATCAAATCCCTAGCCATAAAGAACGCTGGAAAGAACACTTTGAGAAGCAATTCAAATGGCCTTCAGCCACGCTCAACCTGCCGAACATCCAATACATCCCTGAATGGGATATAGACACAGGTCCTCCGTCCTTAACTGGGGTTATTAAAGCTGTCACTAGTCTGAAACAAGGAAAAGCAGCAGGACCTAATGGGATGACTCCAAAGGTATTTAAGTACGGTGGAGACAGTTTACTGTCTGCTTGAATTTCATGCTGTATCACATTACTACCCCTTTATTCCGAAACACTAAAAACTTCACCTAATCATAATTCACAATAAAAAAAGACTAATGCAATAAATAGAAGCATGTTAGAATTACTGCAGTAAACCAGAGCGAGCGAGGAAGAGAAGGGTAATCGAGGCACTATAAAACTCCTAAGATTAGTGGGGGGAGCGAACACCTTCCCAGTGTAATGTAGCATTAGAATAACTTTAATTAGTTGTCAGCTTTTCATGTCCAGCCTCTGTCGATTCTTTCATAACTTTTGATTCTTTTTTATTTAGAATTTATTCATTTCCCATCGCCTGTTTATGACCAATATATACATCGATATGCAATACAATAGCTATTACGTTTATAATTTTGACATTCACAAACTGTTTATACCACTGATAAGCAAAGCTAGTCACAGTAAATCTTGTTAACAGTCTTTGTCTTTAAATCCAATAGTTAAAAGAGCAAAATGCGTTAAAATTTAAGCACGACTGTGACTGTAAGTAATCTTCTGTGCCTTCGCCATCGCCCGACGGGCATTACTAGCTGATATAGGTGCCGGTTGGAAAAGAGCCAGTGGTGGCCAAACAAAAACATGGCATCAATCCATGAAATCCTTGACAGTTAGACTGAGTCAGGTAGGGAGATGCAGACTTCCGGGTTGGGGCACTCGGGACTCTAGGAATCAATGGCTGGAGACAATAGGTGACATGGCTCAAAATCGTTGTCAATGGCCAGCGCAGATGTATTCAGTCTCTGTAATCTTTCATATTCATTTCTACCATTACCCATTCTGTTTCACTCTTATACTTGTCAAACTCTATTAATTCTCTCCACTCATCTTCTTGTCTACCTTTGTGTGCTATTTGGAACGTGGCAACTGGAACTGCTGCACTTCGGTGCCAAGTTCTACGTTGAATCTAGACAGACAGAAAAACTGTACCTTCATCACTAATTCGAACCTCATTTCAACTCTTATCACTTACATGTAATGTCTATTTCAGAGGATAGAATAAGGGGGAGATATTAGTGTTACAATCAGGAACAGCTACTGACATACGCATTTCCACACAAAAACAGTCCTCAACAAGATAAGTGCACAGATCAGAACTCTACGCAAAAGTTTGTTTACACAATTATTACTAAAACGAAAGAAAAAGGGCTTGGAGAATATAGTTAATCCATTCCCCTTCACAACATTTTGTCAATCACAACAAGTAGAACAGGCTTTATGGTGCCACATTTGCATCTTATAACTTTTAGTGTCCTAAGCACTATTGGTTATCTTTATTTCATTTGTTTCAAGTTTGATCACGGATTGATATCAGTCGAGTCCAAGGACTTAATCGGCAGTCCATGAATTGTAACTTCCCCCAATTTGTGTCGTCGGTGAGTATTTGTCCTCACTCCTAACCTGATTGACCACATCGGTCGCGACCCTTGAAAAGTTTATTTCATTACTGCCTCACCGTAATCATTTTTTCCATCCTACTGCAGGTCAATTGTTTTTCTTAAAGTTTTCGTGTAATAGTTTTAAGTGAGACAACCTAAACTGATGCCATTTTCTGAAAAGCCTTACATTAGCATGTTTACCTATATGTCTGTCTTGCTGTTAATATGTTATTGAGTCTATCCTTTTGGAAAAGGACACACCTTTGTTATTTTAAGGAAGTCAGAATCAATGAATTTCGCACTACAAATTCTAAAAAATGAAAAAACAGTCGCTAGAAAGCTTTGATGTATCCTCACACCTGAAAGCAGTATAATTTTAATCATAAGGGAATTCAGATCCTGAATGCGATCTGCTAAGATGAATTCATGCACTTTTTACTTACTAAGCAAAGTAATGAAAAGGGAAACCGTGGAAATGTTTAATAATCAGCAGCATCATGAAGTTATACCAAGTTTTCACCCAGAAGTACATATATAAATCAAACAATCTGCACAGAGATATGTACCATTACAGTTAACATAGGTGACAGTCAACTAATCTAAATTCTGTCAACTGTAGACCAAGGGTAGAATTCCCACTCAGTGACGTCGATTCATGCGATATCTCAAAATAAACTAAAAAAAAACCATGGATATTCGGATGAATCGTCACGATTGAGGCAAATTTCCTGTTGATATTCTTTACAGTGGGAGACGTAGTAGCAAGAGCAAACTAAACACCACATTTAAGACAAAGTAGGGTATATTTCATGAACTGGTTAGCTAATAGGTTTCGGCATTAGGTACATGCACTATTAAAACTATTTAATAAGTTCGCGACAAAGTGGAGTAATAATAAAGATATGGAAAATGCATTCATAAATAATTATTTGTCAAGCTATCTAGAGTGATCTCCAGTTTTCCAGCGGATTTACAAGACAAACTTACTTATTAGTCCAGTCGAGAGGAAACTCATCTCTGTCAATAGCAGCATTTTCAGCAGGTAGACCAAAAGAATCCCAACCCATAGGATATATTGTTGCTTCCCCACACATCATTTTGTAACGAGCCAGTACATCAGAGACAGTGTAAACGCGCAAGTGCCCCATATGCAAACTACCCGACGGATAAGGAAACATCGACAGTACAAAAGACTGTCTGCATTTTAATGCGTTCCTCTGCACATAAAGTTAACGGAATAATTCCACTCACATTTCCGATATCTGCATCTATTTTTCTTATAATGGGTAGCCATTTCTTCTCCACTGCCTGCAAATCGTTTAGTCCACAATACTGAAAGCATCACATTACGAGTAATTATAAAGAAGTACCGAATGTTGTTTACGACTTATATAGCATCTGTACAACCTAAACTTTAGAAACATGTGATTATGAGCTTTGAATTTGACACAGTCCTCAAGGTCGACATTCAATATCCTCCAATATCCAATATCCTGATTACGAGCTAGTATAAACCAGTGATTTCTTTGAGCTCGCTTCTTGATTGTGAGGTAGAGGTTCCAGATCTTCGGTGAGCTTCTGCGTAGTAAGTCCCGACACTCGACTGCTTTAGCTCTGGTAGACTCCAGGAGGAGTGGTGCGGGGATTGGTCGAGATGTGGTTTGTAGTATGCAGTATGTTAGGACTGTATTGCTGCCGTGAATGGAGTTTGACCTAACTCCCCTTGGTCATTCGGTGTAGTCATAAAAGCAGAATAGTAATAATAATAATAATAGGTTGTAGTGTAGATAATATAGGTTGAGATAAGTGGAATAATAAAGGTGACATAAGGAAAAGACAGAGTGAGAGAAGGCAGAATAGGTCGTGGGGATTTAGTTAGTACGCTTATTCATTGACAGTTTGGTTTCAAATTTTATGAGGATAAGCCATTGAGACACAAACCTTGCATTTCTGCATGATTGTCTAGCTTCCGCTTAAAAATCTCCACAGATGGCGCTGTAGTCACGGCCGCCGGTAAAGCGTTCCAGAGACGGCAAACACGAAGCGAAAAGAAATGTGATCGCACTCGAGTCTTTGGTCTCTGGTGTGCTATCCTTAGCGGGTTACCTCGTGGAAGCCTATAATCGCTTAATGGCAGGATGCTTTTATTTGGGTGGGCCTGGTCATTTAGGATCTTGTAGACGGTGATGAGGTCTCCCCTGTGCCTACGGTAACTGAGTGTGAAAAGACCTAATTTCTTTAGTCTTTCCTCATATGATTTGTTGCGGAGGCCGATCACCCATTTTGTCGCTCGTCTCTGGACACTTTCTAGAATGTTAGCATCCCTTTTGAGTAGCGGAGGTGCAATGATATTATGCACCTCAAGGTGTGGCCTCACATATGCCTTGTATAGCCTTAAGAACAGTTCGGGAGTGAGAGCTCCCAGCTGCCTGTGCATAAAGTGTAATGTTGCGTAGGCTTTGGCGACGTCCCTCGAGTAATTTCCACTGGTGTCTAGCTTTTCTGTTAGAATAAGACCTAGATCACGCTCTGATGGAACACAACTCAAGTTCTGGCCACCAAGGGTGTAATTTACACTCTGTGACCTGCCGGAATGAAGCTGCACTACTTTGCACTTCTTTAGATTGAAAGGCATTCCGTTAGCCAAAGCCCAATTTCCCAGAGTTTGCAGGTCAGCCTGCAATCTATCTGAGTCTTCCGATGAGTTTATTGCTCTCCAAATCTTTACGTCGTCAGCGTAAAGAAGCGCAGAGCAGTTTAGTTGGGGGGGCAGGTCATTGATAAAAATCAAAAACATCAACGGCCCTAGGATAGAACCCTGAGGAACCCCTGATGCCGAGGTGTGCCAAGATGATCGGATGCGGTTGACTTTGGTGCAGAATTCTCTCTCGCCTAAGTAATCTGTCAGCCATGCGAGAAGTGCTCCAGAAACTCCCGCCTTGCCTATTTTGTGAAGGAGCAGACCATGGTGAACTGTGTCGAATGCTTTCGCATTAATCCGAACATCCAATCAGATTTACTATCTGAGGATAGAAGGCTTGAAACCTGTGTTAATGCTTCTCTAATCAGCTCCTCTGTTTATCTTAACCCTTCTTTAAGGAATCAGTTTAGGGTCAAGATCAACTAGAAACTCTCCTCCTGGACAGCAGTGCGCAGCGGAGAGCAATAAGGCACAGTACTCGGACCTTTCCTGTTTATTTTGTATACCAATGATTTATCTCTCTTCAACTATTCCCCTATGGTCCTATATGCAGGCGACTTTAAAATCTGTAGAAAGCTGAAGGGCGACAGTGAGGCTCTCACGTTTCAAGAAGACCTCAACAAATTGTCAGGGTGGTTTAGAGAATGGATGCTCTATGTCAATGAAGCGAAATGTGCAACCAAGCGCACCAGACACGGAAGTATCAGCTCCTAAGAACTAGGGGGAATAACACTCCCATCAGTTCAGACTCATATGGATTTAGGTGTTACAGTAAGTCATGATTTAGAAACTTGATCACACTGTCGCACAGTGCCTACACGTAGTTCTAGATCCTTATGGGCGATTCGCAGAGTTTACTAGAATCACCAGGGATATGTTCCCCCCTTGTGTGCATCTCTGGTGGAGTCAAGACTAGAAAACTGTATCCAGGCAGCCAGTATTTGTCTTAAAGGGGGGGGACATTTTTGCAAGTATCCAAAGGAAGGCAACAAGTATGATTCTCGGCATGAATAACTTACCATACTAGGAGAGACTAGACAGTATGAATCTTCATTTAAGAAGGGTTTGGACAAGCATAGAAATTTACTAGAAAATGGTTAACATAGACTCTAAGCCTTGTATCCTCAATCAATAAATCTGAATCTCACTACACTTCTGGAAACAGATTCCAATTATTTATGATAGTGCGAGAACCACTACTCCACAGAGAAATAGTTCTCCGTTGGCTTTGAACATGCATTCATGTCCTCTGGGATTACCAGTCTGGTGAGAGGGGAAACAGTAGATATATCAGGTCTAAAGTCACTTATAAGAAATATGAACCGCGTAGTTATAACTCCTTGCTACCTACGACGTGGTAAGGAGTAGAGATTTGTAGTGCACACTGAACCCTTGAACTTCTGTCTGAACTCACTCACCCACTCATTTGGCACGCCTTCATCTTTTGAGTTTTAACTCTCCTGTACACAAGTGGTTCCCTCCCCTGTTGTGCTTTCATTCAGTGCACTCTCCGAGCCTACCACCAATCAAGGCACCAGATAAGCTGGAAAAACTCTTTATTTATCAAGTTTCATATCTCATTTGTATAAAATATAACTCTGTCCCGACACACCTACCATATCAAGTCTTTTTACTCTGATTTCGTTCGTCAATACTTACACGTTAAGTGGAGTACTGCTAAGGGCATAAAACGGTGAAGTTTTTGTAAGTGTTTATTATTGAGGTCTACCCTAAGCCGGAACAACACTTACAGATTCAAACTGCCGAATTTTTTCTCATATGATAAATTGATTATGCCAGGAATCATACACTTAGCCTTCATATGAACCCTTTCTAGAATGTATGAGCTCCTGATAAGATAAGTGTGGCTGTCTTGATTCGGTTTCGACCTCACCAGAGATATGTATAAGGGAAGTGGCATATCTCCTGTGATTATGGTAAGTGTCCTTAGCATTGCTCACAATGATCTAAAACTTCGAGCTGTCCCCGTGCAAAAGTGTGCTCAGGATTTTAGGTCATAGCTTACTACAAGACAGATCCACGTGAGTCTGAACTGATGACAGCATTAGACACTCTAGTTCATATGAGTTAACGGTTGTGTCCAACGCACGCCTGGCTAAGTTGATTCGGAACACCCATTCTTTGAGCTAACCTAACAGTCTGTTAAAATCTCCTTGAGGCATGGGCATGTCACCATCACACATCAGCCTTCTTCAAAAAATTTTTGTCACATGCACTGGTTTTTCGATGAGCCCAGGTAGTCAGTCGATATACACAGTGAATTACAGGGGGGCCGGTACACTGCCTCGTGGGCCCACGCCACAAGCTTTTGTCCAGCAAGAAAGTTTTGAGTTGATCCCTTCTCTTTCTGCCCATCGTGTTTTGGATATCCCAATTCAGTTTAGAAAGCCATCCTTGGCTCCAGGACTTTCTAATTTCATTAGCAGTCTTGAGTGACTTACATTGTCTAAACTTTACCGAAGTCTATGAAAATGACCTCAACAAGTTTCTTCTCGCCTCTTGACTTGAGTTAGCTTTCTATAACTGTGAGAAACTGTGCTGTTTACTAGGAAACAAGAGGTTGTTTTCCAGATGTGACATGATGGCTGTTTTCAAATGATTCTTTAAAGTATTCTGATTAAGGTATCAGCGATACTAAGAAGTCAGCTGTCTGAAGGACAGTTTCTTGGTCTTCATTCGTGGATGGGTACTACAATGGTATCCCACCGGCTGCAGGGTGACACTCCATTCAAGAGAAATAGCCTTCAGAACGTAACCAACTGGCCGGCTTTGAACACTGCCAGCCCCTTGAGAAGCCTTGGGTAAAGGTTATCTGTCCCCGCTGATTTCCCTACGCTCAGTTGATTTAGGGATCTGTGTTAGTCGGAGTTAACAAAATCTACCTTGTTCCCTCCTGATGAAGCCAGACTTCATGTCATGGGAGTGACGACCCCTTTGTGAAGACTTACGGGAAGTAGCCTGTCATAGCACTAGGTTTTTCCTGGTCCTTTTCTAATGGGACTTCTGCGGTCAGATTTGGGACACTATTGAATGTCTTCTCCTTAAGGTTCATATACAAGAACATTTTCTTGAGATGCACCGTTGCATTTCGAAATTCATCTGCGCTTGACGAACTCCTGCAGTAGCACTTTCTGGCGACAGTGTACAGCTTTCTAACATTATAAGCCCCAAGTGTGATAAACACGTTCCAGCGTTTGTGCTTAAGCCAAGGTAGTCTGATTATCTCCCACTTTATCCTTGAGGGGCCGTGTTTTCGACCGTTTACGCCAGACCATGAGATTAGGGTTCGATTACCAGGGCGTAAGGTTGCTTGAGTTGTCTTCATTCAGCTTTTATGTGGGCCACTGGATCTATGCACCAGTCCTGTGGCGAGGTGCGCTGAAGTGATGGCATTCATGTCGAATTTCCAGGCACTCACTTCAGCTGTGTTTGGGACCCAAGATACTGCCTCAGTTATGACTTGGACCCAAGCGCAGAGTGGTGACTTATTCCTAGTGGTGAAAACTACTGTTCAACGTCTACATTCTCAACATCAGAGACAGCCAGTTCCAAAGTCGTGCAGTGCTACAAGTCAAAACGTGTAGGTTTCTTGATTTGTACTAAGGCTAATGAAGTGATGCGGTCATTCAAATAACAAATCTTAGAAGTTTGTCCTCAGTGTTGTGAAAACGAGGATTCTTGGCACTTATTCCAAAAATGTTTGCTCAAGCGAAACAGATAACTTATAGAGCACCAGCCAATGACTTAAGCAGTTAGACACTCAAAGATGAATAGTTTTACAAGCAATCCTTCCTTGATTCTAAATAATTGAGATCAGTTTCCACAACTATTTTTAATGGCTTATTGCCTTTGAGTGAGCTTAAAGAAGAGTTAATCGTATGCCATTACAGCCGAAGCCAAAACGCATTGAAAACTACCCCTTTATAATAAAATATATTTCGTGTAAACGGGTAGGTTTATATGAAATGCATGCTACTTTTGCAGCCGCGATCAGATATTTTATAAATTACCATCGCGATATGTAAATTAGCACTTTTCCAAAGTTTTAGTTGTTGAATCATAGTACTAGCAATAAGAACAGGTTCGAATAAATGCTAAACAGTAAACCCTTCACCAAGGTCACGGTCAAGGTTGAGCGCCAACCCAAACTTCTTTCCATTTCCTGCTAATAGTCATGGTCAGCAAATGAACAGCATCTATTTTAGCATTATATACATCTCTGTGCGTGGAGTATTCAATTGAAGAGTTGCACCGAAATTTGGTGAGTTCGTTAGATAATGATAATATATTCTCATTTTTTACATGAGGGATGCCAGTTTACAGGCATCATCAATTCGATAAGTTACACATAATATTAATAAGCATATTTAGTAAAGATAATATAATGAGGTACATTTTCTCCTAGCTATGTAGCATAAACCAATTGTATAGGCATGTATAAATATTGTTTTATTAATAATATATTTGTCCCTGTTTATGCAGGAAAATACCAATTGTACAGGCATGGATAAGTTATTATATAAATTACACATAATTTGATGTATGATGAATTTGCAGTTTGCTTGTTCTTCCTGACATTAGAGTCAGTCGGAACAGACTGCCATAAAGTCTGTTTGTATGACACATAAAGACATAGAGAAATATTGTCTTCACATTAACGAAAAACCCAGACATCAGATGAATGCAATACAGATATCTGGGAAAAATAAAGCTTGAAGTCAATTCTCCTATATAACTTTGTTGTGAACAACACCCTTGGCTTAAAGTTTATTGATGTATCATGTTGAGATCAGTGATGTATTTATTCTATTTTTTAGCAGTCTTATCGTAGTTTTCGAACAGTCAAGTAATTTTATCGTGGATGCGAAAACTAGATAAGGTCATGTTGAGTTGTTTTACTGCATCTATTGGTGCCGAGGGCGATTCCAGAATTTTCAATTTTCCCCATTTTTGTCTGCATGGCGGACTGTATTCTTAAGTTGAGTAAAATGTTGAAAACTGTTTGAAAACCAGTTGCTTCTTCATTTCAGATTATGAATACTCATTTACAGCATGTTCGCCAGCGTCTTCAAATGGTAGAATTGGATCGTTCATGGAATTTGAGTGGTTGTGAGATAAATGGTTTCGAAATAATCATAGCGGTTAGAATACAGTTAAATATGCAGAGAAGTACTTTTGATTCATCAACCGGTGAATTTTTTATTCATTTCGATCTGGTACCATAATAAATGCGGATCATTCCATTCAATATGTCGAATATGGCATGCAGGGGCAGATCATTACAATCGAATGAATCAACTTGATCCGAAAGGCAGCTTTCAGAATATTTTCGTTATATCATAAATATCCAGGTATATTGGCGCTGTATAGGAAGTGATTTGGACTATGACGGATGTAAATGTACTTGAAGATTGAACGATCAATTCATGGTTGTTTGCTCAAAACCAAATTCCCCAATTTTCGCGGAGGCATCAATACGACAGTCATCGTCTCATCGGTCGCTGTTCAGAAAGGAGTCAGCAGCAAACCGTCAGAAGTAATATTGTGATTTATTATTGTAATATTTGTTCACAGATCTTAGTGGTAACATTTTTTATATGTTGGTGTTACAATAAAGAATTCTCGAGTGGCCAATCGATGTTTTGGCTTTTTCGTCCGTTATTACTAAGCGTTTCTGAGAAACTTCAAGGAACAGCGTGAGCCCGAGCGTAGCAAGAGCTGGGCATTAACGGTTTACGAGACGTGGCTGACAGTTTCTGACGGTACAACGTCAGTTTTTAAACGGTTTTGGACAGTTGACACGATTTTGGATAGTCACCGTTCATCTTTCCTGGTGCCGGTCAAGTCCTCTCTGAACAAGCAATATCTGGAACGCTTTTGGAATTGGGTCAAGTTCAACAATCCCTGGGTCAAAGAAGGGACAGAGCGTCTTGGATGCGAACAGGAAAGTAAGTCATGGTGACTTGTCTGTTACTTGTGACGATGTGTCTGATGTTAAGCATGACATGGTTGATGTTACTGTTTCGCCGTTCAGGGATAATAGGAACATCAAACTACCTAAATTTGAACCACGGTGTTTCGAAGGAAACCCGGCTGATTATTTACAGTTTGTAAGAGAATTTGAAATCATGTTAAGTGGTTTTTTATTAAATGATGAAATGAAGTTAATGTATTTGATGAGGTATTGCACTGGAGATGCTTCAAGAGCTATACAGTGCTGTAAGTTTATGAAGCCAAAGGAGGGCTACTACGAGGCTATGAGCATACTACGTCAAAGGTTTGGAAGGCCTTCGATGATTGTAGGGAAATTATTCGAGGCTGTTAAGGGTAATAGCTGTCAATTACAGGATGACTCCCAGTCACTCACTGAGTTTCTGGATAATTTGCTGTTTTACAAGAATGCATTGATTTCTATGAATTGCATGAGTGACCTCAACTCGAGTTTTATACTAGAAGTAATAGCAAGACGCCTACCTACTCAACTGCAAAGGAAGTGGGTGAAGATAAGCTCCCGTATGGAGGATGAGTTTATCGAGCCAAAGTTTGATGATATCTTGAAACTAGTAAAAGATAGTGTCAATCAATCTATGAGCAAGTTTGCCAGTATATTGAATCTCACCCCTAGAATAGAGCAGTCTGAGGGTAAAACGCAATCATCGATGACGAATAGGCCTCAGAGAGGTGGATATCGAGAAGGCTCCATGATGCCTAGTAATGCATATAGATCTAGTGAGTGTAACAGGTTTCGTAGTACATCCTCAACAGATAAGTTACAAGATGCAAGACAAACACGGTTGTGTTTTACACGTTTGCAAGAGGTGCATATAAGGTGAACTGTGAACCAGTGAGCAAGTTCAGTGATAAGCTAAATGTAAACTCCAGGCCTGACTCCGAATTGTGTGACGATAACGGTGCGGTGAAGAAGTCTGTAGTTGCAACTGGTAAGCCATTGTTAAATAGAGTGTCACAGAATAGATTTACTGCTTCAGAGTACAGTTCTGACTCCACAAGTTTACAAGGTATTACTAGTCAGAGTGAAGGTATAAAATCTTTAGGGATTTGTGGGGAAGAACCCAAATCATCTACTGCTGTTAATAAAGAGTTTGAAAATGATAAAGTCGACCAGATAGATGATGGTAAATTGAATATTTGTGATAATGATCATGATCGTGCAGATTTGTCTTTGGTTGATCATGATGAAATGAGGGGAGTGCCTACTACTGCTGAGTTAAATAAGGGTTCTGCACAGCTCAAAGGTGAAGTAGAAATAAATGCAGTTGCAGCAGGCATGCATACTTGTCAGACCGTCAGTTTAATTGATCAGCATGTAGCCCACCTATCATCAGATGCTAGTGCTAAACCTGAGCTAATAGTAAAAGACAGCAGTGGTAGTAATCTTGCAGTTAGAGAATTTTCTGAAAGCCGAACAGCAACAGCTTCTGATCCACCGCTAAGTTCATCAACTGGTATCAATCAGTCGTCGTTGGTGTTGTCATCCACAATGAAACAGACGCCCATCAACTCAAGTATCTTGTGCAATGACTTTGATAGTATTGGTGCATTTGAAAAGACGAAAGATATTGCTCAGTTTAGTGAGAATAAGCCAAGTGTAAACGAAAGAGTAATTGTTAAATTGACTTGCATGAATAAAGGCATTTCTAGTTTCAAGTAACTATTTGAATGTTATTATCTTTGGTGTAAATCACTCTGTTTCTACGCTTGGTTGACCAGATACGTCGTGAGTTTGTTCGTCATCTATATTCAGCGATACAATGACATGAGCATGTTGCTGTTCAGATTTGAGGATATAGCTGATAGAAGGAAGTCAGCAAATGAACTCTGCGACGATTTTCCAACCTAGGGAGTCAACCTGAGAGGGGTTTTAGGCGTACTGCTGTAAGTCCTACAGTTCTTCAAGGGTAGTTTGTCGTACCAGAATCCACAACATTTGATGTGTTTATTGTACATATGTTTGTGTTAAATAATTGTGTGAGTTCCAATTATTGTAATTGTTGGTTAATCTTGTTTGTGTCCGGACATTCCACAACTTACAATCGTCAACCTGAGAAGGGTTTCAGGCGTACTGGTGTAAGTCCTGCGATTCTTCAAAGGAATTCCATCGAGACACGATCTGCGAGTTTGTGTGTACTGTTTGTGTATATGTGTGGTGTGTCATATCAATTGGTGTTTTTGGATTCATTGTGTTTACTCGTTGTTTTCGTACCTTGTTGTTATTGCATAATTTTGTTAAATTTTTCGTCGTGACTACTTCTGAAGTTGTTTCGAGTCTTCTACATCCGTGAATGAATTGATTGATGTTAGAGACAGCAGATGGGTCGTATACGCCGGGGAGGCTAGGCTATTGCTGAGAATGAAATGCACACGGAGATAATTGTTAGCTGCGGTCCCACACGCCGGGGAGAAAGAGTGTAAACGACTGAGGCTCGCATACGTCACCGTTACTAGAACTGAGGCAGAATGAGTGACAAGTGATTGCAGTGGTAATTGGTAGTGAGTAGATAAGAGGATGTGCGAGGAGTATCGTGAGGTGGTGCTATGGTCACGTTGCATTCTGCAAGAGTCATTCTAGCAAGTGGCGATTGTGTTGCAAGAGGTTGCCTTTAACTGGAAGGCGCAGGTCGTCATTGATGTGTGAGATTGTGCTGTGGGTATGCTTGTGGTGTGTTGGCTTTTCTGTTTGTTTTCCATTTCAGCTCTGTCCGTGTGACCCAGGTTCTCGCAATGGCATCCAAGTCAACATGTATTGGTTGTGATGGAAAGAAGGGATGGATCCGTATTTTGGCGGGGAGTGTCAATGTCAAACCTGGATGTCTATTATGTAACTAAAACATGCTGAAAGCTGCATCTGAGATCAAGTGCATTCATTCGATGTTAATGATCTGCTCCTGCATGCCTTATTCGACATATTGAATGGAATGATCCGCGGTTATTCTGATACCAGATCGAAAAGAATAAAAAATCACCGGTTGCTGAATCAAAAGTACTTCTCTGCATATTTAACTGTATTCTAACTGCTATGATTATTGTCAAACCTTTTACCTCATAATCAATCAAATTCAGAATCAAATTCCAGGAACGATCCAATTCTACCATTTGAAGACGCTGGCGAACATGCTGTAAATGAGTATTCATAATCTGAAATGAAGAAGCAACTGGTTTTCAAACAGTTATCAACATTTTACTCAACTTAAGAATACAGTCCGCCATGCAGACAAAAATGGGGAAAATTGAAAATTCTGGAATCGCCCTCGGCACCAATAGATGCAGTAAAACAACTCAACATGACCTTATCTAGTTTTCGCATCCACGATAAAATTACTTGACTGTTCGAAAACTACGATAAGACTGCTAAAAAATAGAATAAATACATCACTGATCTCAACATGATACATCAATAAACTTTAAGCCAAGGGTGTTGTTCACAACAAAGTTATATAGGAGAATTGACTTCAAGCTTTATTTTTCCCAGATATCTGTATTGCATTCATCTGATGTCTGGGTTTTTTGTTAATGCGAAGACAATATTTCTATACCCCTTTATGTGCTACACAAACAGACATTATGGCAGACTGCTCCGACTGACTCTAATGTCAGGAAGAACAACCAAACTGTAAATCCATTATACATCAAATTATGTACAATTTATATAACAACTTATCCATGCCTGTACAATAGATATGTTCTTGCATAAACAAGAAGGAATACATTATTATTAAAACAATATTTATGCATGCCTATACAATTGGTGTATCCTACATAGCTATGGAAAATAATGTACCTTATTATATTATCTTTACTAAATATGCTTATTAATATTATGTGTAACTTATCGAATTGATGATGCCTGTAAACTGGCGTCCCTCATGTAAAAAACGAGAATATATATTATTATTATCAGTTGAAGATTGAACGATCAATTCATGGTTGTTTGCTCAAAACCAAATTCCCCGATTTTCGCGGAGGCATCAATACGACAGTCATCGTCTCATCGGTCGCTGTTCAGAAAGGAGTCAGCAGCAAACCGTCAGAAGTAATATTGTGATTTATTATTGTAATATTTGTTCACAGATCTTAGTGGTAACATTTTTTATATGTTGGTGTTACAATAAAGAATTCTCGAGTGGCCAATCGATGTTTTGGCTTTTTCGTCCGTTATTACTAAGCGTTTCTGAGAAACTTCAAGGAACAGCGTGAGCCCGAGCGTAGCAAGAGCTGGGCATTAACGGTTTACGAGACTTGGCTGACAACGTATTCCGCAGAGAGTTTCCGTGTCCATGTGAAGTATGCATATGCTTTGCATGGATTACTTTGTTGGCTCCTACCCCCACTCTGTGTTTACAGCAGGAGCTGTGGATTTATGTATTTTGTCTGCATGTTGGATAAAACATCGCCGCATTCTTTTTGGGAAGGAGACTATTTGGTAGATTATATATGATGTCCAAGTAACTTTTTATCTTTTCATGTGGTTTTGCGGTAAGTTTAGGCCTTGTTTTCTCATATTTCATTGTATGTTGTTTATGGTTCACCCTTTGTATCAGGTAGACATAGTTCGATCGAGTCTTAATTGAATGGGTGTTATTGTCATGACTGCTGCTTTTTTGTCTGGAATTATAAATAGAGGCAAAAACAACAGGTGTAGTCTCTAAGTTCATACATTAAATGGGCCTATGATTTCTGAAACTCTTACATGGGAAATAGCACTGATATCAATTACAAACTCACTTAGTGTGTCATTAAGTGAATTTTCAAAGGAGGCCAATGTCCTTCTAGTCTCATTTTCTCAGGTAGTTTGTTCCATATTTGGGCATACCTAATCAAGAAAAACTTTTGCCTGGTGGCTGTTTTACATGGTTCTATAACCCCTGTACCTTTAGTGTGTCTAAGGTTATATCCTGTGTCTTCTGAGAACCGAGTATAGTTAGCAGGGGTATACACCATGTGGTTAAGAAGCTTACAAACGATTACCAGATTTAGTCGCAGTCGCCTTAACCACAATGTTTCTAGTCCTAGGATTTTACATCTGGTAGAGTAGTTTGTGCCGTTATCGGTTCCGAGTACTTTTCACGTGAAGCACCTCTGTACTCCTTCTACTTTCAGTTTGTCTTCCATGCGTGTACTACTAAATATGAATGAGCAGTAATCTAGGAGTGGGCACACACGAACCTTGTACAGTAGTATTCTGGATTCGTTTCTGTAGAAGTTCCTGAGTAGGAAACCAATAAGCCTTCGTGATTTCGACACTTGATTCGAGATGTGCTCTGAAAATGATAGATTGTGTGAATATTTCAGTCCTAGGTCTAGTACAGATTTCAGTCCGGGGATATTGTGGCCCTGAATTGCTAGGTCCAGTTCAAGGTTGGAACAGCCTATGCAAAGCCATCCACACTCTTCATCATTAAACTCGAGTCTCCAGGTGTTACACCATCTGTCCATTTTTATTAATTCTTCATGTATGGAGTTCATAGTTGTGCCGATATCTGTATTTGTGCAGGTATATGTCACCTTCAAGTCATCTGCACACAGTATTGGCTTGCCTATACTAAAACATTCACATATACTGTTTATGTATATAATGAAAAGAAGGGGTCCCAATACACTCCCCTGGATGACACCACTGCTGATTGGTCTAGGTCTGGAGGTCATTGAGCCAACTTTAGTTGTCTGATTCCTGTCATACAGAAATGATTTTATCCAATTGTAGAGGGGGTTGCGTATCCCTAGTGAGCATAGCCTACCGACTAACAGACTATGTGGGACTCTGTCGAAGGCTTTCCTTATATCGAAATAGAGGATAATCACTAGCTCTCTCCTATCTCTTCTATAGGTGACTTCGTTGAAAAAGTCTATATGGCAAGTGACGCAAGATCTTTTCTTGAGGAATCCGTGTTGTGAAATGTTGATGAGTTTATGTTTTGGAAAGTAGTCTGACATTTGGTCTTTGATTACTTTCTCCATGATCCTTGATATGACAGGTGTTATATTGATTGGCCTATAATTACATGCACTAGTTTTGGACCCTCCTTTATCCTTAGGTAATATATATGTGTTTTTCCAAGTTTCAGGGTAGGTTCCAGTCTCTAGTGAGATATTAAATATTCTAAGTAATAATACTATCATATCCGTACCACCGTTTTTGTATATGATGGATGGTATATCGTCTATCCCACAACTACTGTTGGCCTTTAATGTCCTTACCACCGATGCTATATTTTGTATATTAAAGTTGATTTCACCTAACTTGTAGTTACTTTTGCAGGTTATGTCAAGAATTGGGGACAGATGCGCTTTGGTGTTATTGGAGAACCACTCACTCAGGAGTACACTAATGATCTGGGGATCATCATAAATTACACCTTCATGTTCTAAATGACTGATATTGTTGTCTTCACTCTTCTTCAGCCGTTTTCGCAAGATCTTGCAGAGTTCCTGTGTTTTAGAGGTGCCCTCTAGGGCTTTATTTTCCTCGAGTTGTGCCTTCATTTTATGTCTCTCATCTAAATTTTTAAATGTTTCGTGTATCTGGTGTAATGCACTAAATTCTTTGTATAAATAAAATCTCCTTTTTAGTTTCCTTAGTTTTATTCGCGTTTTGCGGTCTATGAATAGAGTTGGTGTCTTTAGGGCAGATTTCAGGGGTGCGATTGTGTCTCT